CTGAACGACTGGCGTTGTCAGACTTTCCGCGGCTCCCTCTCTGATTGTCGTCGGACTCGTCGCGATCAGGGCAGTCGTAGGAGAGGTGGTCAGGGTCTCCACAAATGTAGCAGCGGCGTCCTCCTCGACGCGAACCACTGCTTCCGCGATCATTGCCCTTCGTCGACTTGCCGCGGTCGGCGCTCTCCGTAGACTTGGTGTTCGACGACTTTCCGCCACCGCCTCCACCTCCGCCCGACTTCCCACGCTGCCCCGTCTGACGTCCCTGCTTCGTCGGAGCGACGTAGTTAGCCTGCGGAAGGAGCTCTGAAGACCGCTCAGACTCCTGCATAAACTCGTCCTGGATGATGTGGCTCGAAAGGGAGTCCTCATTCAGAGTCTCGCGCGTGCCGGGCATGATCAGCATCCGGCGCATCAGATTGTAGCTCGAGGGAAGGCCGTTGATGACGTGTGTGACATACGACGCCACCGAGTACTCGAAACCAGCCATCCGCATGTCGGCCAAAATTCGCCGCGCTCGATTGCAGTACTCGGTCGCCGATTCCTGCTCGCCCATGCGAATGGTGGCCAATTTCTTCTCCAGTTGGCTGATGTAGAGGTCGTCGGTCGCTCTGTAGGTGCGCATGATGTACTGCCACGCTTGGTAGCCGGCGTCCACTTGAAGTCGGCACTGCTTCAGCGCGACTTGCACCAGCGGCGAACAGCACCTCGAAATGACCATGAAGGTCAGAAGGTGAGCAGCGCGAAATTCCGCCAACATTTCAGAGTCGTCTTCGTCCGGCATCTCCACCTTGCCGTCAACGAACTTCTTCAATCCAGCGATCTCCAGTTGGGGTTCGATTGACTCAATCCATGTGATCAAGTCATGTCGTCCTTCGAGCGGCTTCGGCACAGCGATCTTGTCCGGCGAAAATTTGAAGTAGCCGTACGCCGGCGCGATGCCTCCGTCCCGACCAGCCGACGCATGAGTCGCCGATGTCGGCCTGGCTCCACTCCGCTGAGGAGAAATGCGTCGACCATCGATGTTGCCGTTCGAACTTCCCGCTGCCGCCGAGCGCTGAACTCGTGCCTGCATTCCGCCGACGCCAAAGTCAGCAGCCTGAATCACTCCACGAAGCCTCGTGCTGCCTTCGCTGCCGACTTGGTTACCACCGTCGACCTGGTCGTCGACGCCCCCTTCGTTGCGCGCCGGTCGGGGTGTGGCGGGCAGACCATCCGCCTCAGTACGGGTCGTTGGGTGCTCGCGCGCCCACTGCACGCGGGTTCCAAAGAGCATAACCTCCAAGGTTGCTCCGCCGTACTCGCCAGCTGCGTGGCGTGCCCGAACGTCATCTAACCGCGCCTGCAGGGTATCCTCTACGACTGCAGCGACCTCCTCCTGGTCGACCATGGCGGTTTAGACTGCCGGCCTACTACAACTTAGGTATTGAGCACTAAAGTCGGCTACTCTGAAGGTTCTAACGCGGGGCCGTTCCACGCTCACCGCACCATGCGGAGAGTCACCCTACAACGGGTGTGAACTACGAAGGAGGGCACGAGGTTGTGCAGGTGATCGTAGCGCTCTAGTAGCGTTCTAACAGAGTTCTCACTACTTGCTCTGTTCACAGAGAGATTTGGCAAGAGTTTCCACTAAGGAAATTGAAAGTACATTGAAAATTGAGAATTAGAGTACAAGAATGAGCATGCAAAGTGATATCTCTGGAATGGCATTGCAACCTCTATCAACCATTCTGCAAGGCGAATTGCCAGCACTGCATCAGAGCGGTTCGCCAACGCTGAAACAGAGCGGTCTGCCAGCGTAGCAGAAGGGCGACATGCCAGCGCTGCAGCAGGGCGGCCTGCCAGCGCTGCATTCGCAGGTGAATATCTGCGCAGGTGTGCACCTGCCGAGTAGGTGCAGGTAGACGGTTACACCGTCAGAGACATTGCGCAGGTGCCAGGTAGAAAACGCTCCGACGGTTTCGTCAGATGTCCGCCGTCGAGCACGTGATGCCATTTCGGAGGTCGAATTTCGCTAAGAACCACCTGAGCGAATTTCGCATGCCCTCGCAGAGTTTCGCAGTCGCGCGAATTTGGCCGACCAGTTCGCCGAGCTGACGCTCGCCGAACAGCGCCCTTCGATCAGAGAACGCGGCTCCTCGGACAGCACCCCGTCCGTCAGAGATCGCGCGACCCAGAAGCAGATCAGAAGACGAGCTCGTCGAACAGCACCCCGTCGACCAGAGCTCGTTGACGGGCTGGTGAATCAGAGGACAACCTTCCTCGAAAACCACCCGCGGTTTCAGAGAACGGGCTGATCCAATGCGACGATCACTTCGTCGAATTCACCACGTCGTCGCAGAGAATGCCTACGCCCAAGCGAGGGCAGGGCCTTTCACTCCGACAGGCAGAACGGGGGGAAACGCGACTCGACGGGCAGCGGGGGGAAAAACGCGACTCGACGGGCAGCGGGGGGAAAAACGCGACTCGACGGGCAGGGGGGGGGGGGGGGGATACGCGACGGGCAGCACGGGTGAGGAAGGTAGCTACGCTACGCGAGTAGGGGATCGGCGGAACGGGCGGTAACGAAGGAACGAGACGAGAGCGGGCCAGCGCTAGGCTCGAGCAAGACGTGCGTAAGTAGTACGAGAGAGGGAGACAGGCTCGGGCGATACGAACGAGGTCGGGAGGAGCGGGATCCCGTAGGATCCTAACCTAGGTGATACCATGTCAGAATCACAAGTGTTGTTTCATTGATGGTGGTTGGGGTACAAGTAGCAAACCCTAACATACGTACCCCCTAAGACACATCTCACTACAGGCTACCAACACTTGACAGAATGCTATAATTGTCTAGTCTGCAGTGGGGTACTCTATAGTGAGTACAGCCCAAATTAGGGTTTGCTATGTGTATCCTATCTGCTCCTAGTGCAACCCCTCTTTCTGTTTCTAACATTCCTGCTAGCGTTTCTCGACATGCTAACAGAGCGAGAACGCTCCTGGCCTGTGGGCCCACCTGCTTCCACTGCTGTCCTGCCTGTCGCGCGCAACGGGCGCGCGACGTTTTCTGCCTGCCGCGCGCCCGGCGCGCGCGGCGGTTTCGTCGCCCGTCGCGGCGCCCAAGGGGGCCGCGCGCTATCCCCTCCCGTCGTCCGTTGCGGCGTCCCGAGGCCCCGCGCGCCGCCCCCCTCTTGTCGCCCTTCGCGGCGTCCCGGGGGCCTGCGCGCTGCCCCTTCCCGTCGCCCGTTGCGGCGCCCCGGGGGCCCGCGTGCCGCCCTCCTCCCGTCGCCCGTCGCGACGCCCCGGGGGCCCGCCCGCCACCCTGCCCGTCGCACGTCGCGTGCCTTGGGGGCCCGCGCGTCGCCCCCTCATGTCGCCCGTCGCGGCGCCCTGGGGGCCCGTGCGCCGCCCTGCCTGTCGCCCGTCGCAGCACCCGAGGGACCCGCGCGCGCCCCGCTTCCGCTCGCACGCCGCCCCAGCTGCTGCCCGCGATTGGCAGGTGCGACGCGACGGGACGGGACGGGCAGACGCGGCACGACGCGGCGGGATAGACGGGCGCGACGCAACTGGCAGGCGCGACGGACGCTAGGGAACGAGACGGACAGGCGCGACAGGCGCTAGGGGACGGTAGGGGAGCAACGGGCGCTTGGGTACGGGATGGGCTCGACTGTAGGGCGCTATGGGCATTAGGGGGAGGAACGGGATCCCAGAAGATCCTAACCTAGGTGATACCATGTCAGAAACCGAATGATGATTGACTATTGTGGTTGGGGTACATAAACCTAACCCTAACTGCTGTACCCTATATGACACGCATCATTGTTACGAATAGTAATATTTGATATTACTGTGCACTCCTCACCGCAGCAAAGAGAAGCACGCAGTAACGAGAATGAACGCGAACCGTCAGACGGTTGGAATTGACTCGAAGCGACGGACAGTTGGAACGCATCTGGACCGTCGGAAGCAGACGGCATCGGGCAGCTGCAGGCAGGATGGTTTTGGCGGGAACAGTTACGAAACTGTACGCGCCGCACGGTTGGGAGTGAATTTGAATAAGGGAATGTACCCCTTAGAGTACATGGCTAGATAGGTCTGTTCGCATTCCCTTGTACTCTTATTTATATGACCTTGTTTGCATGTTTTTATTATCTCAAGCATTTACATTCACTCTGCTATTGAGATCAAGGGCCCACCAACTATTCTCACTGCGTGCGAACCTTCCTGGGTAGATCCCGGCCTACGATCAATCTCTGATCGCAGCAATCATTAAAGGCTACAACATTTGACATTTTTCAAGGTGTAGCGCAGTCTGGTAGCGCATCTGTTTTGGGTACACATTGGTGGTACGCAAATTTCCATACCATTGAGAAAGCTTGATTTATATCTCTTGCAAGGCAACATGCCTGATTTCCATTTGGGGAATTGCAAGATTCCATTTAGAAACGCATAGGTGGAGGCCAAGTACCGTATCCTCCAACCAGCACCTCGAATTTGTCATGAGTTGTCCAATTTGTGAGGATCGTCTGATGTCGATTGGACTCTGAAAATTCTATGTTGTCGTTGAACAATTTCATTGACTAAATGGTGATTTATCGTAAGGTGATATTCAATCCCATGGTTTTATTTATAAGTTTATTGAAGAACTGATGAACATCAGTAAATAATATATCAAAGTACGTAACTGCATTATTGATTCTTAAACGACGTCTTCCCAGTCGCCCGCTCGGGTCGCCTCGCCAATAATGCAGACGAAAAAAATATGAACACCAATGAGCAATAACGAAATATAGGTAGCAGCCAATGCGCGCGTCCCCAAGGTCGCCCAAAACCATAATTTCAAAGTCGGAGCCGTCGCCTGCAAGGTGAACTCACGACTGTATTATGGAAGTTTTAATCGTAAGCCAATGAACGAGCAATACTGAACGCCTTCGTCTTGTTTCGCTTCACCACTTGCGACCGCCCATCGCTCAGCACAGCCGTCACAACGAGCGCATGGGATGGGATCATCCCGAGCCGCAATGGTCTGACTTTGGGTGGGATGGAAGATAAATTGGAGCGGATTCGCACACTCTGAATCAGCCTTCCCCTCAAGTCCGTCATTTGCAGCTACTGCTAGCCTGTAAGCTTCTCTTATGTCCTTTAGCACGGTTCATCCTACCTACACCTCAAAGGCCCTTTGAAGTATTCGCAACACCAACATCCGACCGTGCCCGTCTCCACCACGATGGCGAATTACAAGACTCTTCTGACGCTCTTTATTTCGTTCACCATCATCGGTAAGCACCTCCTATACTTTTCCTGGAACGAAAGATTTGGGAGCCGTTCGAAACGCAATGCGTTGGATGTTTATTCATTGTACTAACTACACCTGCGCGATCTTGTCGCCACGTTTGATACCGCAGCATGCAGTCTCCAATCTATGGCGGCGGATAGCGCGCTGTCGCTCAATCAACTTCAGGCCCGGCGCAAACTTCAAGTTGTCCCCGCTGATAATGTCCCCGCTGATAACGCCCCCGCTGATAACGTCCCCGCTGATAATGTCCCCGCTGATAATGTCCCCGCTGATAATGTCCCCGCTAATAACGTCCCCGCTGATAATGTCCCCGCTGATGACACCACGGATTACACCACGGATGACACCACGGATGACACCACTGATGACACCACTGATGACACTTACGATGATGATTATAATCATCCTAAGGTGACCACGACGGTGACCGTCGGCGGCTCGTCCTACAAGTTCGATTCGGCTGATTTTTGCTTTAACCTCAAGGCCAAGAACGGGCGCGGCGCAAGAGCGACGCGCTCTGCGCAGAGCGTGACGGTGTGGTGGAACGGAAAGGCGACTCCCCTTGGCAACGTGATGAAGGCCCTCCGCGGTGGCAAGGGCGGCAAGTCGAGGAAAGGCGCGAGTGTGGCGCCGGCCGTCGCATGCAAGGAGGTGCATTTCTTCTCAATGACTGACTGCTACGACGACGTCGTTGACAGAATGACCAAGCCCAAGGCCAACACTAAGCGCAAATTCTTCCGCCTCCCCAAATCCACGTAAGCTCTCCGCCCAGCGCTGCTGCTCCCTGCTGTTCCGCGCAGCTCGCCGGTGCTTTCTGCTGCTCCCTGCTACTTCTGCTCATTCCCGCAGATAGTTCTCTGCTTCCTGATGCTCCCTGATGCTGCCTTATTCTTGCCATGGGGGCACATCTTAACCGTTGCCGCGAGTCCCATGGTGCAGAATCTGCCTCTCGCTCTGACCTACAGTCATTCTCCTAGCAATATTCTTGCTCACCACCCTATGCTGCTGTTTTTCGCCTCCCTTTCGCCATGGGCAGCACCAAGAAGATCCCCAAGACTGTCAAGTCCGTCAGTTGCTTTCTCGGATATTAGTAAGTGTTAGACTCTTCTCTCCCCCCCCCCCCCCCCCCCCCCCTCTCTCTCTCTCTCTCTCTCTCTCTCTCTCTCTCTCTCTCTCTCTCTCTCTCTCTCTCTCTCTCTCTCTCTCTCTCTCTCCTCTCTCACGCCTCCCCCCTCCCTGCACTTGGATACATAAGCGCGCGCGCACACACACACACACACACACACACACACACACACACACACACACACACACACACACACACTCACTAACACACACACATTTGTAATTTTTTCTTGTATCTGAAACAAACCCTGTACACCCATGCGCGTGTCTCTTCTTCGAAACTGACCGTGCAGACCATTGGGAAGGAGTACATGTGGACTGACTCTGCGAGATGGTCACGGTAGATGTTATTGTAGATCAATGTTCCCTCTTCTATTCCAACTATTGCCTCTTCTAGTGGGCTGGGCCTTGCTGGCTGTAAATGTTCTCTTTTTTGTATAACATATGTTGAATACATACAGCTGGGTTAAACGTTATGATGGTGCCATCAAGTCGATAGTAGGCCTCCGGTTTGTGCCAGCGTCACATCATAGCATAGTACCAGCAACTACCAGAGGGGTCTGTTGTCTCATCACTGTGGCTGACGTGCGCCTAGGCTGCTGTCTTAAAAAAAAAGTAAATAGCGGCATTCACGGTTCCAGAAAAGGGAGGATAAAGATGCCCCGCCTTGGAAAGTCCTTTTGTGGAACAACTTCAAAGTCCTTCGGTCCAGTTCTCCTAACATGCTTCAGTTCAGCCTCAGCTACCTCATGTAGCCCAACGCTGACAGATTTCCCAAGCCATAGGTGAAACATGCCTCAGCTCCTTCACAAAGGCTTGATAACAGGCCTAGCAGTGCGTGCGAAGAATGTCACACTTTTCATGGATCCGTCCCCTCACAGGATAGCATCAGCAACATCACTAGAGAGGAATGACAGGAATTCTCACTATCACTGACTGGTGTTCCCTCAGAAAGAGCAGACTGTCACGCGCATGACATGCATCCACGCTGCTGTCTCTGAGACAGGAAAGCGTAGAATTTATGCTCAGCAGATGAGGCAAAGGGCATTACAACAGTTAGGATGGTGGTGGGGTGGGGAGAGACTATCCTTTGTGAGAAGCTACATGCAACGCCTGCATTTCAGTCCTTCGCTCAACCTCAGCTACTTCATTTGTACATATAGGTACATTATAAAATGCCTTAATTTCTCCATGTTCATTTACAAGGAAATTGCCGAACATAATCCTGATTCTGTACCCGGAATATCATTAAAACTACTGCAACTAGAACGCCTGTTGCATTGATCAGCAAAGCCACCACCACTCCCATCTGCTGGTGCTGGTGCTGGTGCTGCTGGTGGTGATGCTGCTGCCACCACTGTTGGTGGTGCCACTGCTGCTGGTACAGCTCCTGTCCTCCTGAGTCCCCAATCCCCCCTCTGTGAACCTCCCCGGAACCTCAGCTCCTTCACAAAGGCTTCGAGAATAAAAGCAACCACCACATTCAGCACAAACACCACAATGACCACGTAAAACAGCGCAAAATACATCGTGGCCTTCCATTTCTCCTCTGCTGGCAGAACTGCAGCAACCCCATCCATGATCACATACCAGTTGTTCACAATACACAGGTTGAAAGCTACGGCCATGGACGCCGGAAAGTCGTTGAAATTGAGTGGAAGGAAGCCGGATTGAAAGTAGTCTGTGGTGCGGAGCTGGGGGTGGTTTGCAGAGAGGAGGCCTCCAAAAAGGTGTGTGCCGCCGAGTGAGAAGAGTGAGAGGGTGGTGAAGAGGAGGGCGAGGATGGGGAGGATGGAGGGGAGGAGGGTGGCGAGGGTGGAGAGGAGGAGGTGCAGGCGGGGGAGGTAGTGGGAGAATGGGAGGAGGGGGAGGCAACGGAAGAGAAGTGCAGCTTGCAACCTGGTGGTGGGCAGGCCAGAGAGGGGAGGAGGGGATGGGAGAGCGGGAGGATGGTGTTTTTTGGTTCATTTCGTCAATTTCTTTCTTTTCATTGTACCCCTTGGGAAGCAGAGACGTATGAGAGCACGAATATGGATGGCAATCAATGTGTGCAACGTATCAAACCAGTTTAGGAGGTAAGGGGAGTGAGGAGTTAAGACGGGTTTCAAAAGTCATGACAGCGAAAGAATGGGATTTAGCATACCAGTGTAGCGCATCAGAGAGATGGGCAGGCATGCTTGCCCTGAGAGCAAGCAGCTGGGTCACAAAAAGCTGAGGAAAAGTGGGTGGTGGTGGCAGCGATGATGGTGATGATGATTGTTCCCGCAGCAACAACCGTGGGGGTTGCAATTTGTGTTCCTGCTCTGCGGCTGCTGTTGGTGCTTCAGGTGCTGCTTGTGCTACTCCTGCTGGTACTGATCCAGCGCCTGACGATGGCAACACATGCAGATGTACATGCTGCTGTTGCTGCTGCTGCGGATGCTGCGAATGCCGCTGCAGCTGCTGCAGGTAATTAGACTGATGCATTTGCACCTGATGCTGCTGCCGCTGCTGCTGCTGCTGCTGCTGCTGTTGCTGTTGCTTTTGCTGCAGGTGCAGTTGGTGAGCAGGAAATATTGTGTAAGACGCTGGAGAGGAACGGATGGAGCGGAGGGGGAGGAGGAGGAGGATGAGGACGAGGGCGAGGAGAGGGATGGAGGAGAAGAAGTGGAAGAGCCAATGGGGGGAGAGGATGTGCGGCCAGCAGCACCAGCAGTGGAGCATGAAACGGAGGATCCATACTGTGGCTGCACATTTGTGGAGATAGGTAGTGGTGGTAGGGGGGAAGGTGTGGGATTGAGATAGGTAGTGCTGGTATGAAAGTTCTATGAACCTGTGCAGGGGAGTGTGAAACGGAGGATCCATACCATGGCTGCACATATGTGGAGAACGGTAGTGGTGGTAGGGGGGGAGAGGGGATGGGAGATGGGAGAGTATTTGTTGATTAGAGTGAAACTCTTGACGATGTTTGCACTGTGCGTTGGAATGACAGCCGCGATGCGAAAGGCGCTGAAAAATGCTGCTGTGGCTCTGCGTGTGGTGCAGCAAAAGTAAGTTGATCAGTGGAGAGAGGCGACTCAAAGGGGTGAATACAAGGTGTGGATGAAGGCGGCAGTGGAACAAGCATGGCATGGCGTGGGGTGGCATGGCGTGGGTTTGCATGGCACATGGCATGGCGTGGCATGGAGTGGCGTGGCGTGACATTCCATGTCGCAGCATGGCATGTCATGAGATGACATTGCATGGACTGTCATGCAATGGCATGGCATGGGATTTCGTGGCATGGCATGATACGGCATGGAGGCTAAATGAAGATGTGAGAATGTGAGAATGTGAGAATGTGAGAATGGGAGGATGGGAGAAGGGAGGAGGGGGTGTGAATGATCGCACCTGCCAAGACTTGTGCAGCAATGAGGAGCTGTGGATCGATACCAGTGATGCCCTGCAAGAGAGAAAGGGCGAGCGATGGGCACATGCAAGGAGGATGATTAAAGGCTGGAAACGAGAACCGAGAGAGGAGCGAGGGAGGGAGCAGGCAGAGCAAAGAAGGGAAGGAGTGAGGGAGGGAGGAAAGAGGAAGGGAGGGTTGACGAGGTAGTAAATGCAGAAAGAAGGCCTCACGACCATGGTGTCCGGTGCACGTGTGGCATGGCGAGGGAGGGGGGTATCACCATGTGTGCTTCTGTCACGAGTAGCAATGTGAGCAAGAGCCCTAGCTGCTCCGCCCTTGATGCCCACCCCTGCTGCTGCACACCCGAACACCTCACACCACCATTCCGTGCACTTGCTGCTGCTGCTGCTGCGGGTGGTGATAGCGATGGTGATGGTGGGAGATGTGGTGGCGGGACAGGAGAGGGGTGCGATGATGACTGCAGCAATGGCTGCCGCAGGGATAGTGATGGAGGAGAGGAGGATGCCAACGCCCGTGCTGATGACAGAGATAGTGATCGGGACGGTGATAGTGGTGGTGATGATGGTAGCGATGATGGTGATTGTCGCAGCGACGCTGATTCCCAAGCTGAAGGCGAATGTATTGTCTGGAATGGTGCTGACGGTGCTGCGGGCGGTGAGAACGGAGGAGAGAGCAGCTGCTGATGATACCCGTTTGTCTCAGCCTGGCGCTCTCTGCGACCGTACTGCTGCTGCAGCTGCTGCTGCTGCTGCTGCTGCTGCTGCTGCTGCTGCTGCTGCTGCTGCTGCTGCTGCTGCTGTTGCTTCCATCCCTCAAACTGCCACCGCTGATCGTAAAGCCAGTCAGCCCAATCGCGGAAATCGCGGCAGTTGTGGCGATGCTGTGCTTCACCCTCTGCTGCGCACTCACCCGCCACCATCCCATCTCTCACTCCCTGCGCCGCCTTGGAATGTTGCAAACGCATCACCTCGGTCGAAGCAGCAGCAAGCCGGGAAGACGGGCGATCAGGGAAGATGTGCCGGGTTGGGTTTCGAGCAGAAGAAGCAGCAGAGGAGGTGAATTGGTGGGAGGATGAGGCGGAGTAGGCGGTGGCAGGGGGTTGAGAGGGGTACTGAAAGGCTGCCTGGAAGATGCGCTGATGAGTGGCCGTGCGTTGAGACAGTTGACCGGCTGAAGCAGAGTCGTTGAGAAAGTCGTGCATAGAAGGAGCAGATGCCACTGCGGATAAACTTCTCCTTGCTCTCTCTTCCATCGCTCCCCTCTCCCCCACCCTCATTCTCTCTTCCACTCCACCCTCCCATCTCCCTCTCCCCCACACACCACTCCCCCACACACCACTCCCCCACACACCACTCCCCCACCACCCCCCTTCCCCCTGCCCCTCCCCTTCGCCCCAACCCCCAGTTCCTGTCGCCAGCATGTGCCGTGCCTGCTGCCCAACAGCTCTCCACAACCCAGACGCCTGCTGCTGCTCCATGCCACACCACAACCACAACCCGTGGAACCATTGCTTCGGAGGCGCCTCAAAAAGAGAGGCCTGCAGCGCGAGCGCGTGGCACAGCCCCTGGAACTCGTCTGCCCAGATGCGCAGGTCGCCCCGCGTGTCCAGGCGGAAGAAGAGCGACGCCATGTGCCTTGCTGCGTGCGGGTGGGACCTGGGGGAAAGAGGGAGAGAGAGAAGTGGGTGGTTGTGGGGGGGAGGGGGCGGGAGTGGGGAAGAGGGAGGAGAGAGAGGGTTGGAGAGATTGAGATAGCAAGAGAGAGATGCGCATCTTTTCCAGATGGCATCTTTCCCAGATGCGCAGGTCGCCTCGCGTGTCCAGGCGGAAGAAGAGTGACGCCATGTGCCTCGCGTCATGCGGGTGGGACCTGCGGAGTAGAGGGAGAGAGAAGTGGGAGGGAGCGGCGAGGGGGAGGAGGGAGAGAGGGGGCGGCGGGGTGGGGAGGTGAGAGAGGGGTGGAGAAATAGCAAGAGTGGGAGAGCAGATGGTGTTGTTCTAATCGACTCAAAACTCACTTGAAAGGCTCCATGGCTCGGAGCAGCTGTGTGACAGTTCTAGCTGACACACACCCCTGCCCCTCTCGTACAAGCCAGCAGATTCGAGACGCCTCAAAACCTTTGTTAAACAAAAGATCATCTCGAAACTCACTTGAAAGGATCCATGGCTCGAAGCAGCTGTGTGATAGTTCGAGCTGACACCCACCCCTGCCTCCTGTCGTCCAGGAGAGCGAAGGCCTCCTGTAGAGACATGTCTGAACGGCTGATTTCTCAATGACTCTTGAGAGGAGCTACTTGTCTCACTTGAAAGGCTCCATGGCTCGAAGCAGCTGTGTGATGGTTCGAGCTGACACCCACCCCTGCCTCCTTTCGTCCAGAAGAGTGAAGGCCTCCTGCAGACATGCCTCCCTTGCTGTCACCTGCTTGTGCTCCCACACTGCCATCTGGTTAGTTCGGGTGATGGGGTGACGGGGTGACGGGTGATGGGGTGATGGGGCGATTGGGTGATGGTGTGATGGGGCTGACTTTTGAGTCGACTCAAAAGGGAAGGTCTCTTGCAGCCATACCTCCCTTGCTGTCACCTGCTTGTGCTCCCATACTGCCATCTGGTTAGCTCGGGTGATGGGGTGACGGGGTGATGGGGTGATGGGGTGATGTGGCTGACTTTTGAGTCGTCTCAAAAGGGATGGCGTCCTGCAGACATGCTTCCCTTGCTGTCACCTGCTTGTGCTCCCACACTGCCATCTGGTTAGTTCGGGTGATGGTGTGATGGTGTGATGGTGTGATGGTGTGATGGTGTGATGGTGTGATGGGGTGATGGGGTGATGGGGTTTGGGTGGGGTGATGCAGGCAGAAGAGGTGTGAGGGAAAACGGGGAGAGGGAATGTGAAGGAGGAGCGTGAGAGTGAGAAAAGGCGCGAGATTGAGTGTGAAAGTCACCTGCTTGCGCTTACACGCTGCCATCTGTTTGGTTTGGGGTGGTTCGGGTCGGGAAGGGTGTGAAGTGAGAGCGTGAGTGAGTGTGAGAGCGACTCAAAACGGACGCACCTGGAGAGGAGTAGATGACGCAGAGAAGGAGGTTCATGGGGGGAAAGACCGAGCACAGCACGAGGTAGGAGGCGAAGAAGAGAGGAGGGAGAAGGGCAGGGCTGGGGCGAGGAAAGAGACGGGAAGAGTTGGATAGACACAATGACGCAAAAGTGAGGAAACGGCAAGAAGACCAAAGGGATGGGATGGAATGATGGACGCACCTGGGAGCTATAGGAGGAGTAGATGACGGAGAGCACGAGGTTCATGGAGAAGAGGCCGAGTGCAAGGTAGGAGGGAAAGAAGAGGAAGGAGAGGGGAAGGGGTAGGGTGGACCGCGAGACACAAAGGGAAGGAATCGGGTGGCAGAAAAAAGCAGAAGGCACGCACCTGGGAGCTATAGGAGGAGTAGATGACGGAGAGAACGAGGTTCATGGAGAAGAGGCCGAGCGCAAGGTAGGAGGCGAAGAAGAGGAAGGAGAGGCGCGAGGCGTTGAGCTCGGGCAGCCAGACGTTGGGGTTGTTGGCCGTGGTGAGCAGGATGAACATGGCCCGGAGGGACGCTGGGAGAGAGGAGAAGGAGGACGAGGAGGGAGGTGAGGAAGGGGGTGGAAAGGAGGAGAAGGAGGAGGAGGAGGAGGAGGAGGAGGTGGAGAGTGGGGAAGTGGGGTTGATTGTGGAGGTGATGGTTTCCGTGCCGGTGATTGTGGGTGGTTCTTGGAAGGGCGCGCCGTAGATGATGTAGGCGAGCCAGGCGAATGATACCACGAAGACTGTGAGGAGGATCTGCATGGGGAGGGAGGGGCGGATGTGGGTGGAAGGATTGAGAGGAGGAGAGGGAGGGAGGAGGAGGAATGGGAAGAAATCAGGGACAGGGAGTAGCTTGGGGGAAGAAAGTGGGGAAAGGGGACGGTGTGGGGAGAGAGGCAAGCGGCAAGGTATGAACAAACCGAGGCAACACATAGCTTCTCAACACAGAAAGCGTAGGAGAAGCCCATTAGCCCATCAAAAACCATTCAAGATGTCAATGTAGGATGCTTCTCAGAGTGGTCTAGTCTGGACTATGGGGGACGAATGGCTTGCAGGGTGGTTTGAGGAGTGGAGTGACTGACTGCAATGTCGAGGAAGGAAGCGATGATGCGCAGCGTGGTGCGGAAACAGCCTCGAATGGACCTGGGAGGGGAAGGGAGGAGAGATGGGAGAGGTGGGAGAGAGATTGTGGGGCTTGAAAAGCGTGGTGCGGAAAGGAAACAGCCTGGATGTGCTTGGGAGGGGACGTAAGGGAACGAGACGAGGGGTGGACTGAAAGAGAATACGGCATGGAACATATGGATAAACGGGAGTACAAGTGGAAAATTTTACAACAGGAGAACAGAAAACAGAAGGGGAGAGTCAGTCACGGGGAGAGACAAACGGGAAGGGAAAAGATTAGTTCCGTAAGCACATATACCCCCCCGAAGGAAAGCGAACGAGGAAAAGCAAAGAAAATGGCTCCATTAAACACACACACACGCACACCACTGCTTCCAGCCTGGCACTACCGCATGACAACGCAACCCACCTGCTGAAAAGAATGGCGAGCATGACGCGAAGGTAGGGAGCGATGGGCACAGGAAATACACGGGCCGCTAGGTCAGGGGCGAGATGACGGAGTGAGGTGGAGAAAACCCGGTCAACGATGATCCCCAGTGCTGCTGTGAGCTAAGACAGGGGCATGGGTGGTGCGGGCGGATTGGAAAGAGAGTGTGAGAGTAAGGCGGATGGTTGGATAGGGGGAAAGACGGAGGAATGGGAGTGGAGTGGAGAACTGGAAGGATTGACTCTGGCAAGAGAAAGAGAAAGGAGTGTCATAGAGAAGGAGGAACCAGGAAGCGGAAATCGCAGCAGCGGAATGGGGGACAAGGAGGGACTGGGAATTGGACGAAGGATTTGACCATTCCTGGCAGCTGGTACGTGAGGTCTCAGGGGCCTCACCCATATGGACGAGCTGCAAGACGGTTTTCCTTGTAGCAGTGGGACCAAAGCCTTCCTTTCCCTGCATTCCCCCCATGTTGCAATAAAGCTACCTAGCCGCGTCACTGGCAGCTGGTACGTGAGTTCTCAGGGGTCCTCACCCATGGGGACGAGCTGCAAGACGGTTTTCCTTCTAACAGTTTGGCCATTCATGGCAGCGGCAGTGGCAGCGGCAGCGGCAGCGGCAGCGGCAGCGGCAGCGGCAGCGGCAGTGGCAGCGGCAGTGGCAGCGGCAGTGGCAGCGGCAGTGGCAGCGGCAGTGGCAGCGGCAGTGGCAGCGGCAGCGGCAGTGAATACATGGCTTGGTGGTGCTGGTTCCGTCGATTCTGCTGGAGCCGGGAGCGACTGACCTTGTATAGAGCAACATGGTTGCGCCAGAAGGAGGGTCCCCCTAGGATGCAGTGCTGCAGGGCCAGGAAGCATAGCGCCATCGCCACACACACCGCCTGATGGGCAACAGCGCGGTGAGACAGTGCAGGTGGAGAAGGGAGGAAAAGGGGAAAGCACGGAGAGAAGGAAGGCATGGACGGGAGGCATGGAGGGGACGGTATGAAGGGGAGGGCATCGAAGGTTGGGCTGTAACAGCAGGCATGGCATGAAAAGAGCTGATCGCAGACTGTGGTGATGGATAGGTTGTTGTCATGGTGATGTGCAGATGGTTAATGCACGGGCACACAAGAGGGACTATGCACGCACACATGCATGTGTATGTGCATGTGTATGTAGATGTGCATGTGCATGTGTATACATGCATGTGTATAAATGCATGTGTATATACGTGTGCATATGCATGCATTGCGTACTGTCTATGTAGATGCCAGCGATGAAAATTGTAAGCCACTCTCAGGGCATTAATGAGGGAACGAGGCAACACAACATAACACAAACCTCGAGGAGGAGAGTGAGGGAGTGCGGCATGTAGGGCAGGCCACTGAGCGCATAGAGAGAAGGGTCGCCGCAGGGAGCAGGGGATGGGGGATTGGTCGTGCACCATGCTGGGAGCTGAGAGGGCGATGGGGATTGAGGGGCACATGGGAGGGGAGAGGAGAAGAGAGGCGAAGAGAGGAGAGGAGAGGAGAGGAGAGGAGAGGAGAGGAGAGGAGAGGAGAGGAGAGGAGAGGAGAGGAGAAGAGAGGAGAGGAGAGGAGAGGAGAGGAGAGGAGAGGAGAGGAGAGGAGAGGAGAGGAGAGGAGAGGAGAGGAGAGGAGAAGAGAGGAGAGGAGAGGAGAGGAGAGGAGAGGAGAGGCGAGAGAGAGGAGAGGAGAGGAGAGGAGAAGAGAGGAGAGGAGAGGAGAGGAGAGGAGAAGAGAGGAGAGGAGAGGAGAGGAGAGGAGAGGAGAGGAGAGGAGAGGAGAGGAGAGGAGAGGAGAGGAGAGGAGAAGAGAGGAGAGGAGAGGAGAGGAGAGGAGAGGAGAGGAGAGGAGAGGAGAAGAGAGGAGAGGAGAGGAGAGGAGAGGAGAGGAGAGGAGAGGAGAGGAGAGCCGAAGGAACAAAGGGGTGAGCTGCAGGCTTCGGTGCAAAAATCTAATGCAATTGAGGGGGCCAACTTGTAGGCTATGCACCACAACTAGTACCATTTACACGCACCTCCTGAAGGACTGCCGCATCCCCCCGCACATCTTATGCCCAATGTCCCTCCTGCACGCAGCACGCAGTACGCACCTCGAAGAACGGCAGCAGCAGCAGCGCGAGCACCATGGCGGCCCGCACGCCCTCCCCCCGGCGGTACCATACCACCCATTTAGCAGCCGCCCCTCCGCCCTCCTCCCTCACCGCCTCCAGCGGCACCCATCGCCCCGCCATCGCCTCCTCTACCAAATATGCTGCTCTTTCCACCCTCCCCCATGACCACTGCTCCCCCTGCTCCCCCTGCCCCCGCTCCCTGCGCTGCCCCCGCGCCCCACGCTCCCCCCGCTCCCCCCACTCCCGCTTCCCCCGCTTCCACCGCGTCCCGCGGTCTCCCCCCTTCTCCCTCTTCCCACAGTTTCCCCTTGTCCCCCTCCGCCGTGCTCGTCCCCGCTGCTGTCACTCGCCTGTGGCCCCTGCCCTGCCCGCGCGCTCTCGTCCCTCTTCCTTTCCGCCGACCTCTTCCGCCTCTCCCCTCTCTCCGCTCCCCCCACCCTGTGGACTGTCTCCCCCCTCTCACCTCCGCCGATTGCCCCTAAGCCCGCGCTTTCCCTGTGCTTAGCTTGCCCTCCGCCGTGCCCTCCCCCTTGCCTTCCCTGTTGTCCTCCGGCTTGTCCCCCCCCTTGCCCTTCCCCTTGCCCTCCGCCGTTCCCTCCCCCTTGCCCTTCCGCTTGCGCTCCCCCCTCGCTTCTTTGAGCATGATTCCCCTCCTCCTCCCAAATCGGTTCCCAAAGTGACTGCCCCCTTGTGCTGCTGCCGCTGCCGCCGCCGCCGCCGACGCTGACGCGTCTGCTGCTGCTCCTGCTGCCTTCTCCCTTATCCTCCTGCTTGCTCTCCCCCGTATACTCCCGCTTGCCCTCCCCCCTGTCCTCCGCCATGCTTCCCCCTTCCCGATCCGCTCCCGCTAGCACCCGAGCGTCATTCCCGCGTGGATAAATTCTTCGGTTCCGAACAGAATCTAGTCAGCGAATACCGTCAGTAGCCAGGCTAGTAGACTAACTACTTACGATCAACATGAAAGTGATCGTAAAGGACCGTTAGAATCGAAACGAACAGCCGATATGCTAAGAGCACCCGCCGCTGGCGGAGGATTCACACTGTGACTACTTGGCTCAACAACCATGTGATGAACAGTATCAATGCAGTGCCGCACGACCGCCCGTCGCGAGGAATTGGGCGAGTAAGAGAATCACGGGAGATGGCAGGAGAAGACACGATTTTGCGGGCATCCCTTCCCCTTCGCACAATCAGCTCTCGGCCGGTTCCCCGTGGTGAGCAAGGGGTGCAGTCCGAATGTGTGGTGAGTGGGTCATCCAAGTTTTTAGTCAACAGCATCAGCCCGCTCGGTGCAGGGCGGTTACCTGCAAACGCTCGCTTTGCTGTGCGTTTTGGTGAGGTTCGAATAACTTTCGGAATTCGTGAAGAGGAGGGGTGGTGAGGGGCGTGGCAGAGCTTTCTTGATTCGAGACTGCATGCGGTGCGGATTCTGGATTGGTCGCAAAGTTTCAGGGACGTGAAGTATGGAACCAATCACGTGTACGGCTCACAAGCGACCAGGCAAGCCAATCGGTTTTGAAAGCGACCAGTACAGCACATCCTTGCATGATATGTTGTTTCGCATAGCATTATCTTCCTTTCCTAACAATATCACCCATTTCCTTTCTTTTTGCAACTCTCCTAAATGTAGCGTGATGAATCCCAACGAATATTAATTACACTCTCAAAAAAAAAAAAAAACTCACATCCTCGGCATATATACAGCCTAGCTATGTACAGGCTAGACTAGCCATGTATAACCTACCTATGTACAACCAGAACCTCTTAACGGCCTGTACAACCTAGCAACCATGAGAAACGTGGTATAACTGTCAGAATGAAGAATGGATGATGCATTGATGTTGGTTGGGGTACATATAGCTAACCCTAAGTTTTGTACCCCCTAAGACAAACCTCACTATAGGCTACAACATTTGACACACCCCCATAGCCTAAGTGAGGGGTGTCTAGCAGAACCAAACGAGTACGGTCACAAGACCAGTCCAAGAAACGAAGCTCAGGGTGGATCACAACGTCACCACACAGTCTGAGCACAAACAACAGTGGCCACAAGGCCAGTCCAAGAAGTAACAGAGATATATAGAAAGCAAAGTAAACAGTACACTCAAGTCTAAGCAACACGAGAACCAGTGTCAACAAGGCCTAACTGCACACAGCACCTCTGGTGGTCACAAGGCGGAAGCGCCTTGGTAAAGATGTCTGCAGTGTTGGCCTCGGACTCCACAAACTCAAAGCGAGCCTGTCCACGCCTCTGCAACTCTCGCAGAAGAAAGTACCTGACGTGAATGTGCTTCACTCTGCTCTCCAGTCGTGGCTCTCGACAAAGGAGAATAGACGCCTTGTTGTCAGTGAACAAGGTCGGTGCAGAGCTCGGCCGCTCACCAAGGTCGGTGAGCAAGAAGGTCAACCAACGTAGCTCCTGTGCCGCCATGGCACCAGCGTAGATCTCAGCCTCAGCTGTAGAGGTCGAGACCGAAGAGGAGCGCGTGGACCGCCAGGAAACAGCTCCAGAACCCAGGCTGAAACAGTACCCCTGAGTAGACCTGTGAGTCTCAGCGTCGTCAGCGTAAGAGGAGTCACAGTGACCAGTAAGTACGACAGACTGCTGCCCTCCAAGAACTAGCCCCACGCCTGATGTCGTCGCTAGGTACTTCGCCACCCTCACAGCTGCTGTCCAGTGAACAGGACGGTGTCTCCCTGGCGCAACAAAGCGCGCAAGAACGCTGAGAGGGAAGGCGAGGTCCGGGCGAGTACAAGTCATCAGGTACATGAGGCAACCCACAAGCTCTGCGTAGGGACCACTAGGCTCGAACGGCTCGTCAGGAAAGGGTCCAGTGAGTCTGTGGTCAACAGCAAGAGGTGTGCGCTGTACTGTGGAGTGCTGAAGCCCGAACCGCTGAAGGACCTGCTGCACCATGTGCGACTGTGAAAGTGTAATGGTGCGAGCAGCTCTGTCCCTGGTGATCTGCAGGCCAAGGTAGTGGCGCAGCTCACCAAGATCAGTGCACGTGTGTCTCTTCTGCAGTTCGGACTTCACGTGTGCCAAAGCAACCCTGTCAGGGGTGGCAAAAACAAGGTCGTCAACGTAGACCAGAACAAAGAAAGGTGTGGGGCCACGACGAACGAACAGCGACGGGTCAGCAGAAGACGGCTGGAACCCAAGGTCAGACAGGGTAGAACGCAGGGTGTCGTGCCACTCACGAGGAGCCTGACGAAGACCGTAAACCGGTCGCCTCAGCCTCCACTGGGTCCCAGGAGGGAAAGAGCCAGTGAAGGCAGAGGGACGACGCAACCAGACCTCCTCGTGAAGACTGCCCTGAAGGAAAGCAGTAGAGAAGTCGAGAGAGTGTAACTCGTAGTCTCTCTGTGCTGCTACGTGTAGTAACACCCGAAGAGTGGTCATCTTCGGGGTGGGCACGAAGGTCTGAAAGAAGTCAACTCCCTCGCGCTGACTGAAACCTCTAGCCACGTAGCGCGCCTTGAAGACCGGAGGAGATCCCGGTGGCCGCTTCACCCTGTAGATCCACATGCCGTCGACTACGTTCGCCCCCGGAGGGGGAACCTCATCGACGTAGGTGCCTGTGGATCTGTAGGAGGCCATCTCTGCGTCCATGGCAGCTCTCCACTGAGAGGCCCAAGGCCCTGACACTGCCTCAGCGTAAGTGCGAGGAGTCGGAATGTCAAGGGCGTCGGGGTCACCCTCAGGGGCGAGGAGCATGGCACAGAGATGAGGGGAAGCGGCCGCCAGGAACTCTAGCTCAAACTGCCTGTCCTCTAGGGCGTCACAGCCAAGGGCAGACACACCCCCGACGGCCAGAGGACTGGAAGGAGGAGCAGCCACAAGAGCGGTGGCGAAGTCAAGGCGGCGGGTAGAGGCAAACTCAGTGACTGCGGCAGTAAGAGCGGACACAGAGGACACAGAGGCACGAGGGTGGGTAACAAGAGAGGCGAGAACACGAGAGAGAACAGGACGGTACGTGCGGTAGTAGTCAGTGACAGGAGAAGGAAGCGACACAGTGAGGGCCGACTCAGGAGGAGACGGAAGCACAGACGGAGACGGACGAGGTGGACGAGAACAAAGGAAGGCTGTACGAAGGTCAGTGAAGGGAACAGGAGACGAGGGACGAGCACGAGGGGAGCGACGAGAGGCCCAAGTCTGAGAAGGAGGAGGAGACAACGAAGACTGAGAACGAGGGAAAACAGCGGGAGAGGGGTCAGGAGGAGGAAGCGGAGGACCAGAGACGGGAGGAGAGGGGGAGGAGGAAGGAGAGGGAGACGGGAGACCAAGGGTCCGAAGACCCGAGACAGGAGGAGGAGACGGCAGCAGCTGCTGCTGCTGCTGCTGCTGCGGCTGCTGCGGCTGCTGCTGCTCCAGCGGCTGCTGCCCCTGCTGCTGCTCCTGCTGCTGCTCCTGCTGCTGTCGCTCCTGCTCCTCGAGCCGCTCCAACTCTCTCTCCTCTCTCTCCAACTCCAGCTGCTCCTCACGAGCACGGCGAACACGAGCCTGGAACCTGGTCGGGTAGGGGTGGGGGGAAGGAGTAGTGTCCGGGGCAGCGGCAGCCCCAGAGTCGACCTCCGAAGCACCAAGCACACCACCCCCAGAGGCAGCACCAACACCAGCTCCAGACCCAGGCTCTCCAGAAACCGAAGGGACACCCTCACCCCCAGACGCAGCACCCCCAGACTCCGCACCAGCACCCCCAGACTCCGCACGACCAGTACCAGCCCCCGGAAGACAAGAGTCCTCTGCAACCCGCGGCTCAGCTCCAACTCCAGCACCCCCAGAACCAGAGACCTGTACAGGGACAGTCGCAGGACCAACCTCTCGAGAGGGAGCACCTGCAGGAGGCGGCGAGGAAGACTGTGGGGAGGGAGGCTGTACAGGGGGGGCTACCGAAGGGGGAGGGCTAGCCTGAGACACACCAGACGGGGCTGGACCAGGGGGGGGAGGCTGTACCGGGGGAGCAGGCGGGGGAGCGGCGGTCAGGAAGAGAGGGGGGGGAGGGACCGGGAGACCTCGACTGGGGTACCTGACGTAGTAGGGGGTGGACTCCTCGAAACGGACGTCACGGGAGTCAAAGAACCGGTGAGAGGGAGGGTGGTAAAAGGTGAAGTCAGAGGAGTCCTCAGGGAAACCAAGGAAGACACAAGGAACGGCGCGAGGCGAGAGCTTGTCCGCGGAGGTGTCGCGGACAAGAGCCAAGCACCCCCAGACACGAAACCTCGACGCGACACCAGGGGACCCTGTCCAAAGACTGGTCGGTGAAGCCTCCGGCCGAGAGACGCGTGGCCAGAGGTTCAGCTGGTGCGCGGCGTACCTGACCGCGTATGGCCACAGGAAATGGGGGGCACGGGCGTGAGTCAAGGAGGTGCGGGCAATCTCCATGACCAGGCCTATGCGACGCTCAGCAACCCCATTCTGCTGTGGGGACTCCGGAAGCGTCCAGGACTGACGAATGCCCTGTTCGCGACAGAATCCAGCGAGAATGCCGGAGCGAAACTCGCCCCCGCGGTCGGAGTGGAGACAGCTGACACGACGACCACGAGTGTCCTGGGTGGTAAGCAACCACCTGATCAGCGTAGAAGTCACCTCAGACTTCCTCGCCAGGGGGAACACTGTGGTGTAGCGGGAGTAGTCGTCAACGACCACCAAAAAGAAACGCTCACGCTCAGGGCCAGGGCGAGGAGAGGGGCCCCAGACGTCCAAGTGCAGCGTCTCAAAAGGCTCGGTGGCCGGACGAAGGGAGGAGGAGTGAGGGGTGGCGCGCAGCCTACCCTCGACGCAAGGACCGCACGGTGGTGCAAGGGACGGCGGCAGCGACGGCAAGACACGCGGGAGACCTAAGACAAGACGCTGACGAGACATAGCGCGAAGACGAGGAGGAGAAGGGTGCCCCAGCCGGTGGTGCCACAAAACGGTGGGGTGGGCAAGCGACCGACAGGAGCACGACGCAGCGACCGGACTAGACGGAGGAACCTGACAAGACACAGCTACCTGGGGGGACGGAGCAACCTGGTGAGACGCGAGGACTCGAACGGGGGGCAAAACAGGGGCCGGGGGCAGGAGGGGCGGCTGTGGCTGCGGCTGCTGCTGCTGCGGCTGCTGCTGCTGCTGCAGTCGCTGCTGAGCGCGCGGGCCAGTGTGAAGAGTGTAGAGACCGGAGCCCGGCTCAGCAGCAAAAGTGGCGAGGGGCTGGTAAGAGTCCCCGTCAACACACACCGCAGTCTCTCCAGAAGGCTCAAACCACACACCCACGTGCTGACTCACGAGGGGTCGCACGCCCACCAAGTTCCGGGAGAACGAGGGGACGTGAAACCCAGTGAGAGACCCAGAAGGAGCAGCCGGACACGGCAAGGTGGTAGTGTGACGCGCGGTGACTGGTCCCGAAGTGGGATCAGCCAGCGCCACAGAAACAGGCGCAGGAAGAGGCGTAAGTGTCGTGCTGTCACGAAAGAAGCAGTGAGAGGCTCCAGAGTCCAGCGTGAACGACAGCGAACCGTCCTCTGAGGTAGCCGCTGGACTAGAGTCTACACAAGAACCTACACTAGCAACAGGCAACTGAGCAAGGCTAGCACCTAAGCTAACAACACCAGAGTAAACAGAGTCAGAAACACTAGAGTCAACAACAGCATACATAGCATGGGGATTACCAATCAGATCAACTAACTGCTCAGCAGACATGCCCCACAGAGCGGAGCCGTAACGCTGAACAAGAGGCAGCCAGTCAGGGGCAGGAGCACCAACCCCGTAGACCAAACGAACCGTGTCAGTGAGCTGAGCAAAGCACTGACCAGGGGGGTGAAACCGGCCACAAGGGTGGCCACGACGAGTGCCTGTCAGAACCTGGTAGGTGCAGGGAGTGTAAGCAGCACCGCGCTGGGTCTGACGCAGCCCCGACCCTGGAGCCAGCTGCTGCCGCTGCTGCTGCTGAGGCTGCTGGGAGGAGAGGGGCTGCTGGTGCTGCAGAAGCTGCTGCTGACGCTGAGCCTGGTACCACGCCGCTGCTCCACCAACCGGGGCAGGAAGTACAGGAGGCGACTGACGAACTCGGGCGTCGCCACCACCAGCAGGCGCAGTGGAGTCACCAGTCACTGCACGAGGCGCCTCTCCAGGCCCTGAACCTCCACCGCCGCCAGGCGCAACGCCACCTCCACTACCTCCGCCTCCACCTCCACTACCACCACCAGAACCGCCTTTCTTGCCACTCCTACCGCGGGACCGCGACGCAGTCGTAACAGCAGCTGCAGTCGCGTCAGTAGCGGCAGTGGCAAGTGAGGCAGTAAAGGTGGGTAACTGCGGGACTGTGCACCCGTGGAAGAGTGGGGGGGGCACAGCACCAGAGGCAGCGGCTACCGAGCGAAGGTTGCTCTCGACGTCCTTGAGTGCAGACTCAAGGACCTCGACGGTGAGCTCACTAGGGTGCTTCAGCAGAAGCGCGTCGCGAACGGAGGCAAGGCGGTCAGGGAGGCTAGTGGCGATGAAATAGATAGTAATCGCCATAGGGGGAGGAAGCAGTGCAAGCTGTGCCTCAGTGCAAGCAGCGCGGTAACTAGCGTCGAGCGAGCGGAGGTGAGCGATCAAGTCAGCAGAGCGCTCAAAAGACGCTAGGTCAGGAAACAGGAACGGGAGGAACAGGCGGCCAAGAGAGACAGCAGCGGGAGTAGAGTAGCGGGCCTTAATCGCAGTGGAGTACTCAGCAGCGGTGCGAACCTGAGTGAAGTGAACCTCCTCAGACTCAGGGAGGAGGCTGCTGAGCGCGATGCAGGCCGCAGCGTCACGTGACGTCCAAGCCGTCTGGTCAGCTCGCTGAGTGGCAAAGCGGGCTCTAGCGGCGTCGTCAGGGGCAGGTCCTAAAGGCGTAGGGTCGGGGGGCGCAGGTAGGGCACCAGTAGCGTGCGCCCAGAGGGTCTCGCCTGCCTGGACCTGACTCTCTAACAGACGGCGAGCACGAAGAAGCCAGACGGAAAAATCAAGAGGTCTACCGTCAGCGTCGAAACGAAGGACACGCTGAGTCGCCATAGTGAAAACGAACGCGAACGGAGAGGGAGGGGACAGCAGTAGGTGAGAGGCAAATTAGGGTTCGGCGGTACTCTGGGACAGGGGAGGAGCGGACGCCACAGCGGGCGTGACAGCGGGAGGTAACAGGGGACTAAGCAGCGGGGAACGGGAACGGGCGCAGCGGCGGGCGATGGCAGCGCGCTCGGCAGCAGGGGCCAGCAGCGCGCGCAGCGGGCGACGGCAGGGGGCGCAGCGGCGACGCGCGCAGCGGCGGGCGACGACGGCGGGGCCGCGGCGAGGCGCGCAGGGGGCGGGCGACGGCGGCAGGCGCGGCGGCGACGAGCGCGGTCGCGAGCGACAGTGGCGGGCGCTGCGGGACGGGCGACGCGACGGGGGGAGAGGGCGGGAGCGACGGTACAGGGGGAGGGCGACGCGACGGGGGGAAAGGGGCGGGTGCGACGGGACAGGGGGAGGGCGACGCGACGGGGGGAAAGGGGGGGCGCGACGGGACAGGGGGAAGGCGACATGACGGGGGGAAGGCGCGGACGCGACGCGACGGGGGGAGCGCGACGCGACAGGGGGAAAGGGACGGGCGCGTCTCGAGGGGGGGAAGGCGACGCGAGGGGGGGGGGCGGTAACAGCTGGAACGATACGAACGAGAGCGTGGGTCGTTGCTAGGCTCGGTAACAGCTGGAACGATACGAACGAGAGCGTGGCTCGGCGCTAGGCTCGGTAACAACGAGAAGGAGACGAACGAGAGCTAGGATCAGGCTCGGGTGGTACGAACGGAGAATGGCGGAACGGAATTCCTCAGGATCCTAACCTAACTGATACCATGTTAGAATGAAGAATGGATGATGCATTGATGTTGGTTGGAGTATATATAGCTAACCCTAAGTTTTGTACCCCCTAAGACAAACCTCACTATAGGCTACAACATTTGACAATAACCATTATGTATGGCCTTACCATGTTTCAACCAAGCTGCTAGGAGCTAGTTGTTATGAACAGCCTAAAGCTACCAATGCTACTACCGTAAGCCTACACAAAGCTCCTGGACATACGTTCAGTTTATCATATACAAGTGAAGAGTCCACTCCAACACTACCGAGGGGCGTTGGAGGGTCGTCGCTGGCACACATACGGTATTCAACAGTCAGATGACCCTCAAACGCCCCAAGGGCTTGCCCCTCTCTCCTCTCCAAACAAGAGTCTCCTGTCCCTCTCTCCCTTCACACCTGCTCCTGCTCCAGCGGTGCCAGCTCATCCATCATATGCTGCACCCGTCTGCACGTCAGGTTCACCAGAGGTTCAATCCCCAGCGCCTTGGCCGCCTTGAAAATCTCCATAAGCGCATCACCATCAACTTTAGCCATGAAGTCCTCCTCCCACTCCTCACTACCTGCTCCCCCATCCATGCCCCCTGAGCCGTAACCAGCCAAGTTGCCATCCTCGTTACTGGTGGTTTCGCTAACGCCAGTCTTTTCCACCTCCACCTGATGCTCGCAGAACTGGATAGCCTTTGCCACTCCCTGGCTCGTCGCATCCACTGAGATAACGGGCAGATCGTCGCCTGCTGTCGTCCTGCGACTGCTGCTATTGCTGCTGCGACTGTTGCTGCCGTTTAGGGCGCCTGGGGGGGAACCTAACTTGTCGTTCATGTCAGCGTCACCGCGTGGAGGAGCAGCGGCAGACTCGCGGTCGCAACTGATCGCCTGTCGCACGGGGTCCATGTGCATGGCGACTTCCTCTGCGACGGGCAGCACGACGCGATCCGCGCTCAGCAGGCGGACTAACGAACCCGTCATGGTCGGACGAGAGAGGAGAGCGAGGCCAGGGACGAGGAGAGAGGCGAAGGTGTGTCAAACAGAGGGAACAGAAATAGCGTGTGTGCGCGTGAAAATGTATTAGAAATTCGGATCAACGAGCGGTAACACAGCGCAGACGCGACGAGCAAAGCAAGGCAGAGACGAGAGGACAGAGATCAGAAAAGCGAACTTGAATGAATGAGAGCAATGAAGAATGCGAAGATATATACGCACGGCGGGAAGAGCAGTTTAGCGAGAAAGGCCAATACCCATCGAGAGGCGTGAACGACTTCACGCCGAAGGCGTGATTCTCGCAAGAACGACTTCGCGTGCGGAGCTGCCAATACAAGTTGCCTCCTCTCCTCGCTTATCGGCGGTACCATCACCAGCAACACCACTCCAATCCGAAACCCTGCTATCTCCAATCAAGCAGCATCTTCAGGAGCACTCTCGTACGCCGCCTCGACATGCAGTCCACGGCCAATCTCCAGCCGGACATTAGCATTCAGGAAAACGAAAACGTAGCGCCATGCCCCGTCGCGTCGCCTCGCGACGAGCTTTTAACGGGGCGGGGGACGGAAAGTGAGTTGCTTGCGGAGCTGATGAAAGTGCCAAGTGCCGTTGGGGTTTAGGGGAACAACGGCTGCGCGCCAGATTCGTCGGGTTACCACCAGATTCGACTCCAGTCTGTTTCACCTGTAAGAGCATGCCGGGTTCGTAGGGCCATACGTACGACGTGGCGTAAAAGCAATCAGATTCCACGCCACGTAGCGGTGACGTCGCGGCAGCTGCAGGCAGCCTTTGGCCCGGGCCGGGATTGGTGGAATTCTAGCCGCTGCTCCGGAGGCCCGAGTCATACGCGTGCTGTACATGCGGAGCCTTGCTTGCAGCAAGCTACTCGTGCCAGCCAAGCCAATGCGCTACGGGCCGCATGCTGCTGACTGTACAGCTGTGCACCTCGATTCGCTGACGGCTAGATGGCCGCCAAGAAGCTCATACTCATGGCAGATAATTTTTCCAGGCTAGCGTGAAGGGCCGAGATGGGCGGGACTAAGGCGTGAGCGGCGGCCAGATCCTCATTACTGCGCGACCCCGTACAAGGTCGAATCTTCCCTCTTTTCATATTTTTCCCACCATGACAACCTTTGTATGGGTGTCTCAAGGATGTGGGTACCGGAATTATTGTTTCCAGCAGTTTGAGCCAAACGTACACATCCTCATTCAGCCTCCACACACAGCGCATAGCAGTTCAAACAGCACAACTTGCTGCATAATGTTACATGCAGCTTAATGTATCGCACACAACGATCACTTTTTAGGTGTCAGTCAGTCAGCAACACCCCTGGCTTGTCCGTTTCATCCTTCACAAGTTCACCTCCATCAGCCCACCGCTCATCCCTCTCTCCTCCCCACCACCACCAACATCAGCTGCTTCCACAGTGATCTCCCGCCTCAACGCAAATCGGCTCTCCCTCCCCTGCCGCTCGCCCTCCCCTGGCCCCCCACCCCCTCCTCCCTTCCCTCCAAAATCCCCCACCTGCTCTCGCCCCTCCACAGCTCCCGTCACCTCACCGCTCCAGCCACCGCCACCACCGCCAACCCCACCGGCTGGCGGCTGCAGCAGCAGCAGGAGCAGCAGCGGCAGCAGCACAGCGAGGCCTGACACGCCAACGAGGACTTTCTTGAGGAGGGAGGACTCTTGTGCGAGGCGCTGCGCTTCCTGCGCCAGCTGCTGGTCGTCTGCCTGGATGCGCGCGAGCGTGGCTCGTAGCGTGTCCACATCCCGTGCCAGTTCTGCTTGCTTCTGTAGAGCAGAGAGGCAGAAGGAGAGGAGAAAGCGCAAGTGGGGGTAAGGGAGCACAGGAGGGAGCAAGAGGAAGCACGGGGGAGCAAGAGAGGGCAAGGGAGGGAAAGAGAAAGCATAGGAGGGAATGACAGAGTGAGCTCTTGTACGAGGCGCCCCAGGAACCAAGTCTTGTGCGAGGCGCTGTGCTTCCTGTGCCAGCTGCTGGTCGTCTGCCTGAATGCGCGCGAGCGTGGCTCGTAGCATCTCCACGTCGCTAGCTAGTGCTACTTGCCTCTGAAGAAAGGACGCAGGAGAGGAGGAGATGGCAAGAGGGGAGAGTGGGCAAGGGTGACAGCAAGGGAGGGAGCGAGGGGGGCCATAGAGAGCAGGAGAGGGAGAGAGCGAGACAATGAGTTTGTGTACAAGGAGTCTCAGTCAGAGACAGAGTGTTCCATAAGGCGCTGTGCTTCCTGTGCCAGCTGCTGGTCGTCTGCCTGGATGCGCGCGAGCGTGGCTCGTAGCGTGTCCACGTCCCGCGCCAGTTCTGCTTGCCTCTGCAGCGAGGGCTCAGGAAAGAGAATAAGGGAGAGGAAGCAGGAGAGGAAGCGAGCGCAAGAGGGAAGGGAGAGGGTGCGAGGGGGAGCGTGGGGAGGAATAGAGGGTAAGCGAGAACAGGGAGAAAATGGAACAGTGAGATCATGTATGAGGCACCTCAGAAACAGAGCCTTGCATGGGGCGCTGTGCTTCTGCATAGAGGATGCAGGGGAGACAAAGCGGGAGAGCAAGGGAGTAGACATGATCACGAGTCGAGTCGAGTCGAGTCACCTCGAATCGCGGTCGAGTCGGGAGTTGCGTCGAGTCGAGTCGAGTCGAGTCAGCTTTCCGGAACTGCCGACTCGTGCTCGACTTCTGAAATCGAGTCATACCTTGACTCGAGCACGAGCCAACAACTCGTGAGTCAGTCTTGACTCGACTTAACCGTAAAGCATTTTCAAAAGGCCCGAAAAGTCGTGTCCTGATTCGTAGCTGGCATGCAAGGTAGGAATGACAAAATCCCGTCCCTTCCCCTTTCCGCACAGGTAACTTGATGCGCACCCAAAATTGCGTGAAAGGCGGAAATTGGGTGTCGGCGGAATTTGCGTGACAGGCGGAAATTGAGTGTCGGAGGGGGATTTGCATGTCGAGCGGAAATTGAGTGTCGGGGAAGATTTGCTTGTCAAGCAGAAATTGAGTGATGGTCGGAAATTCGGTGACGGGAGAAATTGCATGAGGAAGACAACGGGAATCCACGTGGATAAAATTGGTGGCCCTCGAGTCAGGCCAGCTCGAATCGAGTCAGCCGACTCGTGGCTCACCAGACCGTCCAAAGTCGAGTTGAGCGATGCGTCGAGATTTCTCCTGAGTTCGACTCGACTCGACTCTACTCGAGTCAGGAAAATAAAATAACTGACTCGACTCGACCAAAAGTCGAGTCGAGCCAGCGAGTCGAGCTAAAACTCGCCTCGATTGATCATGTCTACAAGGGAGAGCAAGAGGGGGAAAGAGAGGCACAGGAGGGACACGGGAGAGAAGGGGACACTGGGGTCGCAGATAGGGAGTGGGTCAAAAATGGGAAAGATCTGAGTGATTATGAGTGTCAGAAATCTCCAGAATGACATAGACAACACCTATCAACACAGATAGCTGCAGACTTTCACGCTTCCCACAACGATTATTTTTATCAAGTTATCTATTTGACAAAATATATTATTCAACACAGCATTTGGTTCACAATACCAAACTACGCTGTGTAAAGCACGTTACCTTCTCTCCCTCCCCCACGGCTTTCTTCGCTCGGTCCACCTCATCTGCCAGCCTGGCAGCCAGCTGTTGCCCCTCCGCCACCTGCGCCTCCAGCTGTTCCGCCACCTGTCGCCCCTGCTCCACCTGCGTCAGCAGGTCCCCCGCCCTGCCCGCCATTCCCTCTAGCTCCTGCTCTGCTCGCTCTGCGTCCGCACTGCAGGGGGGTGAACAGGGAAGGGAAAGTGGGGGGGAGTGTGGTTTATTAAGAGCCATGCCTGTCATCCCCCGCCCTGCCTGTCATGCCCCACCATGCCCCACCCCACCGCACCCCACAACCCCACCCCACAACCCCCACCCCTCTCACCGCAGAGCGCCCACAACAGCCTCGGCCTCAAGAGCAGCGCGAAGCTGCCTGGCACCATCCTCCAACGCCGCTTCCAGCTCCCTCTCCCGCGCCTCCCCCGCCGCCACCTCAGCTTTCAGCTCCGCCACCTCATTCCTTAGCGTGTTGACTAGGCGGGTCATATTCTCCGCCATTTCCCCAGCCGCCTTCCTTGCAGCTTCCTCCCTCTGCACCGCGTCCCTCAACTGCCCGGTCAACAGCCCGACCCGCTCTCTCACAGCCGCTACCTCCTGCTTCTCCGCATCGACCTTCGACTTGAGGATTTCGCACTGCCGTGTGACGAACGCGAGTCGCTCTTTCGCCGCCTGAGCTGCTTCTGCTGCTCGCGCTTCTCTCTCCCGCCCCTGCCGGATGAACTCCTCAAGCTCTCTCACGCGTGCCATGGCTGCTTGCACCTCCCCGCTCCCTGCTTCATTCTCGCTGCTCAGCTGTGACACTAGCAACTCCAGCTCAGCTATCTGGGTCGTGGGGGGATGGTAAAGGGGATGGGGGGAGAAAGTAAGGGGTGCAGGGCGAATAAGAAATGGCGCACAGTGCATGGTGTAGAACGTATACTGTGCTTCCTTCGCTGCTTAGCTCTGCTGCACGCGCTTCTCTCTCCCGCACCTGCCGGATGAACTCCTCAAGCTCTCTCACGCGTGCCATGGCTGCTTGCACCTCCCCGCTCCCTGCTTCCTTCTCGCGGGGAAGGGGGGGGAAAGAGAGTGGGGGGCAGGTTGGAGGATGAGGGATGGATAGGCCACGGCATATCATGAATGGTGTAGAATCTATATACTGTGATTCATTCTCGCTGCTCAGCTGTGACACTAGCCGCAATCTAGTTTGTGGAGGGGGCGGCAAGGCAAGGGGAGGTGGGCAGGGGGAAGGGCGGGGAGCAGGGAAGAGAATGAATGTGGCATGGTGCTTAGTTGTGATACCAGGAACTCGTGCTACCAAGCAGATATGATCATCAACCACCAACACCCCACCACCCCATCACCCCATCACCAATCACCACATCATCCCACAATCTCCCCCCTCCCAGCAGCACCTGTGCTTCCAGGTGATGCACAGGTGCTGCTGCATCAGAGCGCTCCCAACCAGTTATGATCATCAACCACCATCATACCGCATCAGCCCATCACCACACCATTCCATCACCACCCCACCCCATCACCACACACTCCCCCCCCCTCCTCCCAGCAGCACCTGTGCCTCCAGTGCATCAGAGCGCTCCTCTGTGACCGTTGCTGCTCTGCGTGCTGCTCCTGCTGCATCCATGGCTGCTTCGGCCAATGACTGTCCGCGCGCATGGGGGAGAGGGGGAGAGACGGGGAGCGAAGGGGCGCGCGAAGGGTGAGCGAAGGGGCGGAGAAAAGGGAAGAGGGACAAAGGCGGGGCGAAGGGGCGAAGGGGAGGAAGGGTGGGGAGGAAAGGGGGGTGAAGGGTGAAAGGAGGGTTCATACGGACAAGCATTCATGGAAGCAGGTGAAGGGTGAAGCAGAGGAAGCAGAAGCAGCAGCGGCGGAGGCGGGCGGGTGGTGGTGGCAAGCGTGAGAAGGGAAAGTAGGGGCAGAAAGGAGAGAGTAGAGCGGACCTTGTGATGTTCGATTTGCACGCGAGCCGCTGCAGCAGCCTTGTGGAAGACGACCTGACAGGCAAGGCCAGGGAGGGAGATACAGGAGGACGAACCAAGAAAGGTGTGGAGAAAAGAAAAGAAAAGGAAAGAAAAAACCACAAAAGCAACACCACGAAAGAAACACAAGCATCTCTCAACCACTGACCATCATACCGCACTCACGAAAGAGCGTTTTTTGACAAGAACGCCAGCAGGGGATTATCTTGTCAGGTACTTGAATAGAAACACTATCCGTCTCTTCACTGGTTATTCCGACACTGCCTTCCTGAGGCGCCTCAAAATGAATGACCACTTTCCATCGACTGCCAGTCATACCTCGGAGACAGCGAGAGGAACGTCAGCGCTGCCCTCTGCTAAAAGAATAGTTTCTAAGATGTGTACAAAAACGGCGCCACTAAACGAATGAAATCACCGCTTTCCAGCGACTGGCAGTCATACCTCGGAGACAGCGAGAGGAATGTCAGCGCTGCCCTCTGCGCTAGCTGCCACCAGCTGCTGCACGTACTGCAGCTGGGCTTGCTGCGGGGAGAAGGGGGGAAGGGGGGGTGCACGGGGGTAGTCGATTTAGTGGTTGATTTAGTGGTTGATTTAGTGGTTAATTTAGTGGTTGATTTAGTGGTTGATTTAGTGGTTGACTTAGTTGCGCCTAAGCTGCTGTACGTACTGCAGCTGGGCTTGCTGCGGAGAGAGACGAGGGGGCGGTTGCACGGGGGAAGGAATGAATGGCGCAGAGCCGAATGGAGGAAACAATGGGGCCAGTAGGGAGTGGAGATGAGAAGGGAAGGGAAGGCAAACCAACAGCCGTGCAATCACGCGTGAAAAACCAAGCACCCACCCCAACAACCACCCCTCCAGCCCAAGCACGCCAACTCCACACCACCCCATTCCACCCAACCCAGCCCCACCCCATTCAACTCCACCCCTCCCCACCCCAGCGTACCGCCCAGTCGTCTGCAGGCCCGCCAGCAGCGCCGGTGTCTCTGCGGCGCTCGTACACAGCCTGAGCCATGGCGCTCACACGAGGCGTGTCCAGAGACGACAGCAGGTCCACACACTGCGGTGGTGTGGCGTGTGGGGGGGGGGGAGAGGGGGAAACGGGGTATTTTACACGCCTCGAAAGCCGGTGTCTCTGCGGCGTTCGTACACTGCCTGAGCCATGGCGCTCACACGCGGCGTGTCCAGCGATGACAGCAGGTCCACACACTGCGGTGGTGGTGGGGGGGGGAGAGGGAATGGGAGAGCGGCAGTGTCAGCACGTGCATGTGGATATTCCAGAGCGAACCAAACGAGGCCTGCACCATGGCGTGGCAGCAGATTCACACACCGTGGTTGAGGGATGAGTGGGGGATTGGTGGGGGATGGGTGGGGGATGAATGGGGTGTGGTTGGGGTGTGGTTCGGGTGCGGTTGGGGTGCGGTTGGGGTGCGGTTGGAAAGTGGGTGGGTAGTTGGAGAGCAGATAGTGAGCGGGAAATCAGGACCACATGTGCATGTGTAGCTTGATCAGGATTCAACTCAAGGTGGGTGGGAGTGGGTGGGAGGGATGGTGCGTCGGCAGCATGTGCAGATGTGCATATGCATGTGTATGCAGTGCTCTCTACGGGCGCTTGCACACTAACCTAGCACGGCTTGCACGCACCTGCTGCCATGGCTGCAGCGGCACAGGGGCATCAGGAGCTGCTGCCTCCACCGCTGCCCGCGCCTCTGCCAGCGACTGATGCCCGGCAAACGTGAGAAAGCTGATGGGGAGGGAGTTTCACATAAACACGGAGAGTTGGAGATGTGCAGGTGTGTCATGGTTTGGATGGTGAGGGGAAGGAGGGTCATGGTATGGTTTGGACGGCGAGGGGTTGTTACAGGGGGGTAAGGTAGAGAGAGGAGAACAAGGATCAAAATGACGGTTATCGTATTATACGGTCCGTATAATACGGTCGTTTTATACGGCCCAAAAACCAAAAATACGCCGTATTTTTGATAGACTGGTTTCCAGATTTTTTTTTTTGTGTTTTTTTTTTTTCTTTTAATCCTTTCTCCTAGCAAGGTTCTCAAAGGTACACACTACACTAGCCTAGCATAACAACAGCACAAAGTGTTACAACACAACTCTACCATTCCCACTACTACCTAACCGTCCACTACTACTCATTTCTCCTACCCTATCCTATCCTTCCCTATCTCTCTCTCATCCTCCTACCTGTAACCTCCTCTCTTCTTTACTCTTCCTCCTCCTCATCCTCCTCCTCATCTTCATCCGACTCCTCTTCCTCCCCACTAGACCCGTCACTAATGTCCCAAGGATCCGAGCCATTTCGAGCCTTGGTGGGCACGTCCTCCTCCTCCTCCCCTCCACTGCTATCCGCCGCCTCCTCCTCCTCACCCTCTTCCCCTCCCACAGATGTTGCCTTTCTCTTTCCCTTGGTAGGCTTCTTGGCCTTCCCGCCCCTCTGCCTCTTAGCGGCCTTAGGCACCTTCTTCTTCCGCTTCCCAATGTTCCCGAATAGGTCCCAATCAATGGTGCATAGCTGCTCATTCCCCTCTCCCTCCTCCTCGTCGTCGTCCCCCACTTCCTCTTCTTCCGCTGCTGCCGGTTCAACGGCACTCCCTTGCTTGAGGGTGCCGTTGGCCAGATCGGCATAAAGCTTCTCCCTCTCCCGTGATTTGTTATCGAAAGCATCCCTGGCCCTCCTGGCGAACGCCACCTCAGTCACGTCCATCATCTTTTTGGCGCTGAGGCGGTTACGGTCCCGCCTCTGCACCCGTGCAATGGCGGACCAGTAGCGTTCGACCTCAGAAGACGTGACTGGCTGTGACAGCACCGTCACAGCCATCCCCATGAGCGCTTGCAATTCCCCCCCATACATCAGCCACCACTCTGCCTCCGTCAAGCGCCCACTCGCCACCAGCACCTGCGCTGCCCAACGGGCATCATCGGACCCTATCAGCCCCTCTCCCAAATGAAACCGCGTCAACTGCGCCAACAGCAGCGTGCGTTGAGCGACATCCCCCCCACGTGCCTGGATCACGGCTTCCGCCCCACGCCTTACCTCGGGATCGTTCTTCACCTCTCTGCCGTACTGATTGCGCGGGTTTAGAAGCCACCCCATAGCATGGAGTGGATTGTGGAGCTGGACGTCCCACCTCCTGGCTATAATAGCCTTGATGGCGGCAAGAAAGGCCGGCTTGTCTTTGGCCGGCAAGAGAGCTGTGCGTTTCAGCATCATTTTGGCTGCCCATGGGGAGAACGGGAGAGCACGAGGTGAGCACAATGTGCGGGAAGGGTATATAGTAGCCGTGAACGTGCAGCAATTCACAGCTTACCTGCGGCCTCTGCCGCAATGTTTGTCTTCACCGTGGCATCTAGCATGAGGCCATAGATCTGGCCCATGACTAGAGCACGGGTGTCAACCACCCGCAGCACTTCGTACACGGGTGTCATGAGGCGGAGGACCGCTGTCGCGCAGTCCCAAAAGACCTCATCCAAGAGGAGCAGGCGGACAGCTCGCCCCTCCTCAGACCGTGCCACCGCCACCGACTCCCACTCCTCACTAATCACCATCTCCTTGAGCGCTTTCTTCACTTCCAGGAAGCGGGTAAGCATGATAACCTGCGTGCCGAAGCGTGTTGCACCGGGCCGCACCAAGGACAATGTGCTAAACAACTCCTCGAAGAGCACGACGGCAGACGCGCTTCCCTTGACGATCATAACCACCCTGTGCACCTGGTTGAGCACCCGCCGCACAGCACGGACCTTCCCGATGTCGTGGAGCATCAGATCCAGGACGTGCGCCGCACAGTTGTTGAAGAAAGTTGCTGGAAAACCGTCACGGAGAATGTCAGCCGCCCTCCGGTTGTTGGAGGCGTTGTCCATAACCACCTGGACCACGTTCGAGTCTCCAACATCACAGATCGCGCGCTGGATGAGACCGGCCAAGTATTCCCCCGCCTTCTTCGCGGTCTTGGAGTCCACGGTCTTCACGATGACAGGCGCCGTGTCATTGTGGGCCATGACACACACGAGCCCACGACTCTTCATGCAGGTCCAGCCATCCACGGAGAGGGTGCAGCCAGTAGTCTTCCAACTCTCCTTCAGGGGCCGTACAATGTCCGCGGTATCCGCTACCAGTTTTTGAAGCAGCACACCCGAAACCCTGAAGGGGGATGGGAGGGTGTACTGTTTCCCGAAGGCAACAGCCGCATCCACGAAGTTCTGCACGGCTGGAGACCTGGACGTGTGGAACGCCCAGTCGTTATCAGCCACTGCAGCAGCCCATAAATGGTCCAGTCGAGCGCGTGCAGTGTCATCCACCATGTCGCGGATGTCCCGCTGCCGTGCGCGCCGAGTGGGTTCGACGTCTAGGGTTGAAGTGGAGCCAAGGGTTGACAGAGTGGCGCTTCCGTCACGCTCATTAGCTGCTCCTGCTTCCGCTCGAAGTTTGATGGCGACTTCGTGGTCGCACGGCGTCACATTCTTCTCCTTGTCCTCCGGCGTCCCATAAATGTGCTCCCCTATGCGTGTTGCGTTAGCAGTCACGGAGTTGTTGCAGTGCACGCACTTCGCAGTTAGAGTGCCGCCTGGTCCCTTAGCCGTCGTGACGTGCTTCCACAGTGGCGATTTCTGCCTCGCCATGGCTTATGTCCTGCCACACTAAAGACTAGACTAGAGCTCTGTTTTGAATATGTGCAGGAGTGACTAGACCAATCTCCTAAGTACCAAGTAGAGGAAACTGGGGGTGTTGTGTCGAGTGGTGTTGTGGAAGGGTTGAGTGCACGGGAGGTATTCTGATTGGTTGGATTGGTTTCGCATCGCGGGTTTTGTACGTGTCGCGCATGCGAGCGACAAAAACATCCGCTGCGCGAAAATGTTAACGGAAAAAACGAAACGAGGGAGCGAAATTTCAGATTTCGCCAAATGTTGAAATGTCGCGCAACGGGTACCAGTACGCGATGCGCTTCGCGACTCGGGAATAAAACACATTCCAGTGTACGGATGTCAGAGAAATTTGAGTTTCGGCGAAACTGGCGCATGAAATTCAGTGATCCGATATACACTGATTTCGTTTCAAAAATACGGTCGAATTATACGGTCGTATTTTTGAACCAAACAAAGAATTAAAAAATACACCGTTTTAAACCGTTTTTTACGGTCGTATCATACGATTCCGTATTATACGACAGAATTTCAATAATTCGGTCGTAATTTTGAACCTTGGAGGAGAAGAGAAACAGAACAAAACAAGGAACAAACAAGGGGAACGCACCTGAAAGCGACAAAAGCGGAGAGAGCAGGAGAGGAGGAGCAGAGCACAACACGCAGGCCCATGGCTGATAGAGTCCCCACTGCCCGCACTGCCTCGTACACACGCCACCCCGCTTGCTGCCCCTGCGGCCCCTGCTGCCCCCCCTGCTGCCCCCCTTGCCCCTGCCCCTGCGCCTGCTGCTGCTGCGGGTTCTCTATTGCAGGCAGTGATATGTGCAGCGCTACAGCACCCTCCCGTGCTGCTGCCTCTACAAACGATGGCCGGTCCAGCGGGGAAGGCTCGCCGTCCGCCTGGAGAGGAAGGGGGAGGGAGGAAGGGGAGGGAGGAAGGGGGAGGGAGGAAGAGGGGGGGGAGGAAGGGGGAGCGAGGAAGTGGGGGGGGGGAGGAAGGGGAGCGAGGAAGGGGGAGGGAGGAAGGGGGAGGGAGGAAGGGGGGGGGAGGAAGGGGGAGGGAGGAAGGGGGAGGGAGGAGGGGAGGGAGGCAGGGGAGGGAGGCAGGGGAGGGAGGAAGGGGGAGGGAGGAATGGAGAGAGACGAGCGAGAGGGGTGAAGAGATGGGGCCGATAGTGCAGGGAAAAGGGGCAGAGAGCGCGGGGAGCGCAGAACAGAGTGTGCAGAATGGACATGTACACACACCCACACGCCGTCTACTCTTGAGAAGCCTAAAACGGAGAGCAGATCAAATCAGGCGCACCTGCAGCAGCACGACAGCATCATAGCCCCACGTGCGCACATACACCTTGATATCCGCGTCCTTGGACAGCAGCTTGCCCAGGCCTAGGCCTAGGCTCGTTGTGAACTTGTGAGTCGGCAACCTTGAGTTGCCTCAAAGAGAAACGACACGCACCTGCAGCGCACGAGAGCATCATAGCCCCACTTGCGCACGTACGCCTTGATATCCGCGTCCTTAAGCGGCAGCTCGCCCAGGCCTAGGCTCTCCGTCACCGCCGCCTGCCACACCACTGCATCCCCCTCCGCTTCCTCCGCTTCCTCCGCTACCTCCGCCTCTGCCTCCTCCTTCTCATCCTCCTCGCCCTCCTCTCTCCCTGCAACCTCCTCCTCCTCTCCCTCTGCTCCCTTTTCCCCAACTACCCCTTTTCCCCCAACCTGCTGCTGCTGCTCCCTGGCAGCCCCCCCCTCCTTTTTGCCTTGCTCCCTCTCACTCCCCACCTCCTCATGCTCCTTCGGTCTCCTCTTCCCCTCTCTCGCATCCCACTCGAGTTTGAGAGTTCCATCTGTCTCCGCCGCAGCACCTGCCGTGTCCCCTTCATTCGACGCCTCATGAGTGACTGATGCTGCTGCTGCTTGTTCCCCATCTGACATCCTCCCGTCATCTGCCTTATCCAGAGCTTCAGGCGCCAATGGCAGCGATAGCTCCGTCTCCGTGGCTGCCACGTCATCCACAGCGCCAGGTTGCCGCGCGGGCAGACTGCCACGTCGGACTGGCTCAGTCGGGACGAGTCCAGCTGGACGGGCGTGGAGCGGTTTCTGGTCGGGTCTCAGGGAACGGAATTTGGTACGGTACGTCGTACTGTACTCGTGACCGTAGGTGAAACCGTTTGTTGTTGAAACGCGTCTGGTGGGGTGCAACGCCGAGGAAGGTATGTTCACCGCGCGGCAAGCCATTGTTTGAACGTTTCTCTAATAAATGTTAAATTAAGATTTAGCGATGTTTTTGCTTGTACGCGCGGTTTCTGGCAAAACTGCCTGGCAAAACAAATGATCTAAAAATTAGAAGGATAATGATTGAGGCGGGAGATGCGGCTCACAGGGCGAAAGAAGACTTATTAACGCGACGACAAACGCGGAACTAGCGCAAGCGAACATGGCCGCGTTTTTTTTTTTTTTTTCGTCTCGATCTCAACCTCGTTGTGAGGTTTCCTGCACCACGATCGACCTGATGCGCCTGCGTGGAATTGAATCAGCACCACCGGATAAAGCGGAATGAGTGTTTTCAAACGACGTCGCCCCGTGCTGGTGCAATTAAGGCACGGCGCAACGCTGATGCACTCTCACGTTACTCGTTCGACGTAACCAAGGTTGGTTATAGCGCGCTCCTTGCAGGAACTAGAAAGCTGCTCGCTAGTTATGGCGCCACAAGAGGGCCAGAAATTAGGCGCTCAGAAATCGCTACAAGAATGGTGACAAAGAGCAACAAATCCATTCATTTGACTGAACTGAACCAATAGAGCGTGTCGGCTGAAACCAAGGAGACAGTAACGAGGTGAGCCTGCAACAGCCTATCAAAACGGCCCATCCCTATCGAGGGATGACGATGTGCAGGACGCGTTCTTGGGCTGTGTCAGCTTGAAGTTTACTCGTCGTGTCAGAGTGCTCTGAGAGCGAGGTGAGGCGACACGAACCAGCCAAGTTGTCCGTGCATTCTACCTCGTGTCAGCTCTGATACAGGGTCTGTAATTTTTTCACGGGACGGTTTTGTTTCGGTGGAGGGAGGTTCAGTTCTGCACGGTTCTTCTCTGCTGGATCAGGCCCCAGTGCCAAAAAACTTCATCCTCGCAGTACCAAACCGACTTGCCTGACCGTCATTCCTGGGGCAACCTACAGTATCAATTCCTGCAAAACCGTATAGCACCCCCCCCTTTATTCCGCATCGCATATGAGGGGAGGGAACACCGAGGGCCCATCTAACGGCTCTCCTATCTTGGAGCCAGTTACTGTAGGTCAGCATCAGAGATGTCAGCAAGTCGTTTAGGGCGGGTCCAACTCGTTTCGTTTCGGGGAATAGCACCCTTGTAACAAAATATTGACTGTCCAAATGACAAACAGCCAATTCGAACCTAAACACGTGCGGCGTCATGTTGACCCAAGGCGGGCCCAGCACCTGCTCAAACGAACTAACGCAGACACAGCATCTCTCCCCTTGAACAGAAGTTGGTGGGAAAAAATCATGCGTGCAATCGGCAAACTTCGTGAGGGGTTTTTGTGGGAAGACACTGGAGGAATGGGAACTGATGCGCGACAGGTTTCCGTCTGACGAAAAAACTTCAGTTCGCAATCACTAATAAACTCTGTTACCGGGAAGTGTGAGTGAGAGAGTTTGACCTGCTCTTGCTTTTCAGTTCGCAAAAATTTTGGAATATTTTCGAGTTTGAAATGTGTTGTGGCACGAAACTGGTTTTGCATGAGGGAAAATCGAGCGCGTCATCCCGGCTGGTCTCAAAATTGGACGCGGTTACCCTACAGGAAATGGTTACAGAGGCTATATTGACCTGAGCTGTGATGAGTTGGACCCGCCCTTAGTGACCTACGTGTATTTGAAATTCAACCCTATAGGGGAGAATATTCCCGAGGAACGCCCCCTGAGAAGGAAGGCCATCAAGTTTTGATCAGCTCAACAATTCAGGATCCCAACTGAAATCTAGGCTGGTCACATCATCAGAGAACCAGCCTCTTGAAAAAAGAAAATCGAATGCGAGACTAGGAAATATCCTAGTTGCCGGCCTATTTCCCGTCTCCGACGCGTCTCGTATCAGTCGTTTTCCGCGCGCGTCATTGGGATCTGCTATCTGTTTGTGTGCATCGTACTGCGCGGACCTCGAACACCATGTTCGCGACGCGATCGCTGTCAAGATCGTTGACTCTGCCGACGCCTTTGGCCAATGACAGATCAGCTATCGGAAACACGTCATCGGAACTTTGGCGATCCTCGGACGGAGGCGCTCGGGGCCTTTTAGTCGAGCGGCAGAAGCCAACGGCGCACGGCAGCGCGAAAACACATGAGCATGGTCGTTCCTGTCGCAAACTCTCGCATGTGTCGCCAGTCGCGTCGTCGTCGTTTTTCGCCGACCTTCTCAGCAACGAGGTGCGAGCGACGTCATTTGTCGTCCAATACGCGTCGCTCCTCCGAGCCGCCTTACTGCATCTTAACTTTCAAACGCTGCTTTGTGAATCTTGCAAAATGGATCACATCAAGAGGCTGTGGCTATTGAAGAAAAGAGTCTCTTGAGAATATGGTTATGCGACAAGCTTTGAGACGTCTCAAAACTGGTTGAGCGTCAGCCTCCGAAACTCCCTGATCTTTCTTATCCCTGCAATCTTTGCAATCCCTGCATTCTCCCCACCCTCATCGGGATTCCTCCTTTTTTATCTCCCGCCTTTCCCCCGTCTGGTATCGATACATCTCAAAGTTCCCATTTCTCGACTGGCGGTTTCCCAGCCTCTCCTCAACTTCCTTCATCCCGCACGCTCTTCACATTCTCCCAACCTCCGCCCCTCTCCCTCCCTCTCCTCTCCATTTCCCCCATTCCCCTATCCGCTTCCCCTTTTTTCCCCTTCCCCCTCTCCGTCACCCTCCAGCCCCTAGCAGCAGCGAGCACGGCGTACGTGGCGGCGCAATGTCCATAGCCCGTCACAGCGGCATTTCGAAGCCTGACTCTCAACTCCCATCAACCCCAACCATCCTCCCTTCCCTCCCTCCTCCCCTTTCTCTCCCCTTCCACCCTATCTCCCGGTTCCCCCTCTCTCCCCTTCCGCCATCTTTCCCCTTCCCACCTCTCACTTCCCCAGCCGCTGGTGGCAGCAAGCGCGGCGTGCGTGGTGGCGCAGTGCTTAAAGCCTGTTATAGCGGCCGCAGCAGGGGACGGCTTTAACTGGCGCCTTGTGTTCAAGTCCGGCGGCATGCCCTCCTCGCACTCCGCTGTGTGCCCTTCTGCCCCCCTTGCTCGACTGCTCGTTTGATCCCCCCCTCCCCTCCTCGTTTGCTTCCCCGCCTGTTTTCCTGCTCCCCTCTTTCCCTGCTTTCTCGCTCCCTTGCCTCTTCATACCCTCTCATCCAATGGCCAGTCCTCTTTCCTTTAACTCTTTCCCTCATCCCAAACCACTGCGATCCACTCCTTCCCTGTCCACGCCCCGCGATCGCTCCGTCTTTCTCTTACGTCACCATGCCCTCGATCCCTACCCTTCAACCGCCCTGCCCCCGTCTCCTGATGCATACTGTTCTGACTCTGCTTGTGCCCGCTCGTACCAACCGTGCACTGGGCCATGGCAGGTTGTGACAGCTCTGGCTACGTCAATCTACTTCGAGCGGTGAGCCAGTCCCTTTTCTCTTCCGCCCGCCCGCCCTCTGCCACTCCCCCCCACGCCTTCCTCTGCTCCCAGTCGCACTTCATTTCCGCGAGAACGATTCTTTGCTTCTTGCGATCCCCATTGCATTCTTGTTATCGCACTCTCTCTCCATAACACCTTCCCCACAATACTCTACAACCTGTGGCGTGCAGCGGAGCATCGGACGCTCTTTTTGGAGCAGCAGTAGTGTTTGCCACCATTGTCATGTACGACGCCCAGGTATGGCTATCTGTGCTGGGAGGCGGGCGCTGCAAGACAGAAACAATGGGGAAAGCAAACAAAGAAGAGAGTGACAGGAAATTTGCAGCCGTAGTGTTTGCAACCTCATGTACGACGCCCAAGTATGGTTATCTGTGCTGGGAGGCACCTCAAGAAAGAAAGGAAAAAAAAAATGAAAATCAAACAACAACTAGAGAGAGTGAAGGATTGCGGCAGCGGTGCTTGCCGCTGTAGTTATGTACGATGCCCAGGCATGGCAATCCCCTTGTCTCTTTTGTCCTTGTATGTCCTTCCTCCCTGCCTCTCGTATTGCCCCTCCGTTGACCATGAATTCTGATCCATTGTTTCTCACCCCGCCACACACCACGTAACCTGCATTGCACTTGCTCCTCTGTTGACTGGAACATGGTTCTGCAGGGGGTGCGCGGAGCAGTGGGGAAGCAGGCCCAGGTGATCAACTCCTTGGTCGTGCCGCAGTTGGTGCGCCCTCCTCCTCTCTCCCCCATTCGCAACAGCGCTGCATCGCTCTCCATAAGCACAGCGGATGACAACGATCCCCCCAGCGACACCAGCAGCAGCAGCAGCAGCAGCAGCAGCAGCAGCAGTGGCGGCGGCAGCAGCAGCAGCAGCAGTGGCAGCAGCAGCAGTGGCAGCGGCGGCAGCAACAGCAACAGTACCAACAGCGGCGGCGACAGTAGCAGCAGCAGTAGCGGCGACAGCAACAGTCAACCCGAGGAGCAGCAGAGGTGGAAGCGACTGTTCCCATGGCTGAAGCAAAACAGGGTGCCTGGACCAGAAGTGGTGAGGCCTGCCCCAGAAGTGACTCCCATAAAGGACGATCGCAGCGATAATGACGAGGTTAGTGATGCTGAGGGCCGCCCGGCTGTGAGAGCAACAGCACTGGAGGGAATAGAATGGGATGAAAGCCGCATTTCAGCCTACTATAGCCCTAGTTCAGGGAGTGATAGCGACAGCAGCAGATTGCCTGGAGAACAAAGGTGGAGGCGGTCTAGGTCGTTCTGGGCGGCTGTGTTTAGGGAGCCGGCAGTGGTGGAGGGGGAGGTGGAGGTGCAGGAGATTGGGCAGTTGGAGGGGTGGCGAAACGTGCCGCTCAAGGAATCGGTGGGGCATACCAAGGCTGAGGTGGTTGGGGGTGCGGTGGCGGGTGTTGTGCTCAGCTTGCTTATCGAAATGTTCAGCTGAACCCAGAAACAGTTGGAACATTTTTTTGCATGGTTGGTTTGGTACTGATAGTGAGCTAGGGATTTTGTTTTTCCAGGACAAGTCTGGGGGAAGGGAAGCCTTGACTTTGTGAAACTCCTGTACCGTACTTTATACGCTGCTATATTAGGTTATCAAGGCTGTGTGTTTGAAGACTTAGCCTCATATGAACTTTCCAGCAAACAAGGGTTTACTTTGGATGCTGGGAAAAGGAAGCATGAGATGAGGTATTATGGCCGAGTAAGTTAAACACTATAAATTACTGTAATGAAATTTCAACGCACAATCGCAGCAAGCACATGCCGAATCCCCCTCATCCGCGACAATGCCGCCGCAAGTGAAGCAAGTGAGGCTGTTGCCTGCGCCTCGACTTGTGTTCGCGCAGATGTTCCTCCAATCCCCGCCGTGGTGTAACCAGGTGTCAGCCGTCCGTCACATTCGCGACCCGTGCTCTTGACGCTGGCAGCGGCGGCCGGAACCGTCCATCCAAGAGATTGGCGGTTCCGTTGAATTTGAACCGATTTTTATTTGGACTCAGGCGTGTTTTCTAATTGAGTTCTGAGATAGTGTTCAGTTTTAAAGTCGCAGTTCTGCATGTGTACGCGAATTATTGCAAATGGATCTCCAGCACGCTGACAGGGTACGCGCTGTTGACGAGGTAGAAGTGCACCGTCGTTGCAACCTAAGCACGTTTCGAAAGTCTCCGCATTAATGTGAACAGGACCTGGGAAACCATTGCTGGTCTACACCATCCCATCCCATCCAGTTTCGTGATGGTAAACTGGCAGACCACTTCCGCTGGCTCTACGCTTCCGTGACGTAGGGATAGGTATAGCAGCGCAGCGTGGAGCCCCAGTTACGATCTCTTCTACAGATCCATATGACGTAGAAGACACGCGAACTAGGTATTTCTATTTTCTGCCGCGGAAGTCACGCTAATTGGCGGCAGTTTCTAAGTTGACGATTGAAACAAAGAATTAGGGCCAGCCTTCACACCCAGATACACCGCGGGGAAAAGACGAAGGAGTCAACCAGAAGACGCACGGCCGTATTATATTAGAACGGAGCCTGCTTAGCTTGACGAACGCCGAGGGCGCCGAGGCAGCCGAAGAAGCGTTATGACGTGGATACACGTCACTCACGCGGACTTACGGATTGTTACACCGGCAGCAGCATCAGTAGCAAGAGGAGTTGTGGGAAGAACGGTACTGCTGGTGATGCTGGCGGTGTGCGTGATGACGAGCCCGGTAGTCGCGAATGCCGAGCCATACGCAGGTACGCAGCAGTGCTGCTACGAGCCGTTTATACGCTAAGCACGGTTTAGATGCCAGTCACCTTGATTTCGATGCAAAAGGAGGCATAGGAGTACGTTGTACGAGCATGAGATCGAATGAGATCGCATGACATCGCATCGCATCGCATCGCATCGTATCGCCTCGCCTCGCCTCGCATCGCATCGCATGTATGTAGGTTGACTCGATAGCGAACTCATGTGCTGGGCTGACCCAAACATCCAGCAAAGCGGCAGCAAGACAATTCGCGGGGTCGTCGGTCTTGCTGTAAATTTACGAGCATATGACGCTATCTCATCGCCGCGTGTATCCCGCTAACTGCGGCAGGCATACCTGGAAAGACGACTCGTGCGTTCCCGTTATGTCCCGTTACTCCCGTTGTACTCCTGGACAATTGACATCTCACTCCTGCCGTCCTTTGAGGCGCCTCAAAAGCCGTCCCCTGCCCTATCTCGCCTTCCCCCATTCCGTCCTCATCGACCCGTTACCGCCACCCCAGTACATTCCCAGCATAGAACTCCCGCCTCCTTCATTCCGCCTTCCTCCATTCTCGACTCCGCCGTTTCCCCCATCTTCCAAACTCCCCTTCTCCACCCCCCCCCCTCCCTCCCCCCATCCTCCTCCCCCAATTCCCCCAGACACGGGCCCCATAGACCCGGAGACGGACCCCGCGGTGCTTGCGCGCATGCTTCCGCTCAACGTGCGCGCGGGCGGGCCGTTCGCGGACTGGATCACGGGCGAGCGCGAGTGGTTCAACGTGAACTACTACTTCGGCAAGGGCGGTGCGTTGCTTTGCGGCGCGCGTGCGTGTGTTGAGTCGAGTCGACTCTAGAAGCGTGCGTGCGTGCGTGCGTGCGTGCTTTGAGTCGACTCAAGAATTGACTGGATCACGGTCGACCGCGAGTGGTTCAACGTTAGCTTCTACTTCGGCAAGGGCGGTGCGTGCATGCTTGTGCGCGTCGCGCTGTGCGTCGCGCCGTGCTTTGCGGCGTGCGTTGCGTCGCGTCGCGTCGCGTCGCGCCGTGCGTTGCGTTGCGTTGCGGGTGAGGGGAGAAAAAGGGGGGTTGCGCCGCGCGTTGCGGTGAGGGTTGCGGAGAGGGTTGCGGAAATGGGGGCCCGCGATGGTGTTGATGCAGGCTGCGAGTGAGGAGACATCGGCGTGCAGGTTCAGAAACCCTTTTTTTTTTGGAAGGGGGGGGGGGCCCGGAGGAAACTTCAGAAACCTGTCGCGTGCGGAGAGCGGAGACCGCACGCAGCCGTGACTGCGGGGTAGCGCCTTCCGCGGCTACCTGCCTGCAGACACGCAACGCAGCAACGACGTGATCTGGGAGGGCCGAGGGGCTTCCGCTCCGCGCGTTCCTTGTCCGCCCTGCCCGCCCGCACTCTCGATCTCGCGCATTTCTCCCCCCCTCTCTCCCTTCCCCCTTGCACGCAACGACCTGCTGGACACGCAGCGCAGCAACGACGTGATCTGGAGGGGCGAGGGGAGCCTTGCGGTCAGGAGAACAACCGCTAACGCACGCCTATTCTTTCCCCCGCCCGCTCCCCCGCCCGCCCCCCAGGCAACGACCTGCTGGACACGCAGCGCAGCAACGACGTGATCTGGAGGGGCGAGGGGCGCTCGCTGTCACTCCGCCCATTCATTTCCTCCCTGCCTGCTCGCTCACCCTCTTTCTCTCTCCCCCACTCCCCATGCTCCCCTCGCGCTCTTCCCCAGGCAACGACCTGCTGGACACGCAGCGCAGCAACGACGTGATCTGGGGCGGCGAGGGCGACGACGGGCTGTACGGCGAGGACGGCAACGACACCATGATGGGCGGCCCGGGCAACGACCTGCTGTGCGGGGGTGCGCGCGCGGAGGGAGGAGGAGGGGGAAAGGGGAGGGGGAGGGGGGAGGGGAGAGGGGGGAGCGGGAGGGGGAATGGACTGGGGAGGATGAAGAGTTGGAGTGGGGAGGGGACTGACTGGTCGTGTGTGCATCATACTGTGGTTGGCTGGCGGGGTTGAAAGGGCATGTGTGTTTGGTGGGTGCGCTGTACGGCGAGGACGGCAACGACACCATGATGGGCGGCCCGGGGAACGACCTGCTGTGCGGGGGTGCGCGCGCGGAGGGAGAGGGGGGAGAGAGGGGACGGGGAGGACAAAAAAGAGGAGCGAGAAGGGGGAATGGACTGGGGAGGGTGTGAAGTGTTGGAGTGGGGAGGGGGACTGACTGGGTGGGTGGGTGTGTATTGTACTGTGTGGCGTGTGTGTTTGGTGGGAGTCACTGTTGAGAATCGTCGAAGTGTTTGGCTGGTTGGGCTGTATGGCGAGGACGGCAATGGAACCATGCTGGGCAGGCCAGGGAACGACCTGCTGTGCGGGGGTGTGCGCACAAGGGAAAGGGGAGGGGGGGAAAGGGGGAGGGGCGGGAAAGGAAAGGGGAATCGGGGTTTTTGTGTGCCTCCTGTGTGAGCGCTCCCAAATCATTTCCGTCCTTCGTCTCCTCCCTCCCCTCCTCGTGCAGCCCCAGGGCGGGACATCATATACGGCAAGGAGGGCGACGACACAGTGCTGGGGGACCCGTGTGCCTGATAGATGGTCCAAGTGCCGTCGCATGCTTACACTTTCTCTCCCCCCACCCCCACCCAACCCCCCCTTCCCAACTCCCGTTTCTTACCCCTTGCCGTCGGAGCAGCCCCAGGGCGGGACATCATATACGGCGAGGAGGGCGACGACACAGTGCTGGGGGACCCGTGTGGCATAGGGAACATCTGTGAGGGGCCGCAGGTGGTCTACAACGACTGGATCCACGTGAGTGCTGTGCTGTGCTGTGCTGTGCTGTGCTGTGCTGTGCTGTGCTGTGCTGTGCTGTGCTGTGCTGTGCTGTGCTGTGCTGTGCTGTGCTGTGCTGTGCTGTGCTGTGCTGTGCTGTGCTGTGCTGTGCTCTGTGCTGCTGCTGGCGGTGGTGGTGACGGTGATGGTCGTGCTGCTGCTGCTGCGGCTGCTGCTGCATCGGCTGCATGTGATGCAGCCTGCTTCCCGCACTCCCTCCAACCACATCCTGCGCGTCTTCCTCATCCACTTGCCTGACGTTGTCCCTCCTTCCTCAACCCCTTCCCTTCCCCGCCCTCACCTCTCTCCTCCTCCCTCTCCCATGCAGTACCTGGCAGGGCGGGCCCGGGAAGGACGTGCTGAACGGGCAGCAGCGCGATGGCGAGATCTAAAACGCCTCTCAGAAACCTCTTCAAAAACACGAGCCTTTCCCTTCCCCCGTTCCACCCCACTCCGCGTGACCGATGTGGTGCATGACAGGGAGGGCCTGGCAAGGACGTGCTGAACGGGCAGAAGGGCGACGACGAGATCTATGGGGGCACGGGCGATGACAGGTGGGCTGCTGGGCGCTTGGGCGCTTGGGCGCGTGGGCGCTAAGTCAGGGAGGGGGCTACGTGGGGAGGGGAGGGAAGTTGGAGCGGAGGGCAGGCAGGCGGGAGGTTGTATGGCGAGGCTGACAGCAGCGATCGCCTGAATGTCGAAGGCAATGATCGCCTTGATCTGCTGGTATCCCCTTACACACATGTAGCTGCACCCTCGCCACCGTTCTCCACCACTTCCTACCACTCCACACCCGTCAGCACCGCTCACCACCTCCCACCACCGCTCTCAGGTTGTTCGACGGGGATGACCATGACTATCTGAACGGCAAGGAGGGCAACAATGCTCTGTTTGGCGAGGCGGGTGACGACTACCTAGTGGGGGGCCGGGCCGGGGAATGGCACTCCCCAACAACCTCAACTCATTACCGCTCAACACCACTCTCCACCTCTCCCCACTGCTGTTCACCGCTGCAGATTGTTCGGTGGAAAAGACGACGATTATATGAACGGCGAGGAGGGCAACGATGCTCTGTTCAGCGAGGCTCGTGACGACTACGTCATGGGGGGGCCAGGCCGGGCAATGGCCCACCAACCTCACCACTCATACCGCTCACCACCATTCTGTCCCACTCCCCACTGCTGCAGGTTGTTTGGTGGGGAAGATGACGACTATCTGAACGGCGAGGAGGGCAACGATGCTCTGTTTGGCGAGGCGGGCGATGACTACCTCGTGGGGGGGCCGGGCAATGACACTCTCTATGGCGCTGCTGGCACCGACACTCTATACGGCGGCCCTGGATATGGTAATAACGCGTATGATGTGATGATGTGATGTGTATGTGATATGGTGTGTGCGTGATATGATCTGTATGTGTATGTGATATGATCTGTGTGTGCTATGATGTGTGTATTTTTCACGCCCAAGGGTTTCTCTTCTGTTCCGGGCTCGTCTGCAGACCAGACAGCACCGTTCCTTCACACCAGTACAGCACGACGGTTCTTGTCTTCTCTCTCTTCTCTCTCCTCGCACATTTCACCGCGCCATGCCTCTCCTCCCTCGCCCCCTCTTTTGCCGCTGCTGCTGCAGATATTCTGAGGGGCGGCGGCGGCACCAACATATTTGTAGTGGACGCCCAGCCGTGCGGCACCTTTGACCAGATCCGCTACTTCGTGTCAGTGCATCGCACCCACTTCCTCTCCTCTCCTCTCCTCTCCTCTCCTCTCCTCCGTGATAAAAGTAGTGTTTTGAGACGTCTCAAAACATATTCGTGGTGGACGCCCAGCCATGCGGCACCTTCGACCAGATCCGCTACTTTGTGTCAGTGCATGCATGCAATCGTGCGTGCAATCGTGCGTGCAGTCATGCATGCGTGCATGCGTGCAACCCCTTTCATTCCATCTCATCAACCCCTTTCATACCATACCCGTTGACGACATGACATCTCTCCATACCCTGACCTGCCCCCCTTCCATGAGCCGTCCGTCCATGTTAAGCCATACACGTAGAGTATCCCGTGAACTGAGGCGATTTCTTAGTCGACTCAGAAATCGCCTCATCGCACATAAAGTATCCCGTGAGCCAGCATGTTTCTTTGTTTGAGGCGCCTAGAATTTCACTCATGGTACATCGTACGTGCCATTTGTGCGCAGCGAATCCGTGTTCTTAGTTGATTCACCGTGCTTGCTTTGTGCACTATTCCGCATGCGTGATGTGACAGTTGTCTTTTCACTTGATCACCCTCATCCGTTGTCTGTTTCCTTCACTCTCCATAAGGGAGACTCTATCCACCCAACCCATCTCCCCCTTCTGCTGCACTGGTCCTATCCGCGCTGTGATTTCTGAGCCGCCTCAAAAGCCATCCACCCCACCCCTCTCCCTTCCTGGTGTTCTGGTCCCATCCGTGGTGCTAAACGTGCAGGCCCAAGAACGGCGACCAGGTTATTTTGGTGAAGGGAGTGTTTTGAGTTGACTCAAAACACGGCTTATTGTGGTGGCGGGGAGCCACCAGCAGGGAGCTTTTGAGTCGACTCAAAATTCATCTCAGACCCCATCCGCTCCTGCCCCTCCCCTTGGTCCCATCCGTGGTGCTGAACATGCATGCAGGCCTAAGAATGGTGACCAGGTTATTGTGGTGGCGGGAGGGGGAGCCACAGGCAGGGAGCTTCTCAAGAAAGGCAAAGCGGTGAGACTCGGTGCTGTGCTGTGCTGTGCTGTGCTGTGCTGTGCTGTGCTGTGCTGTGCTGTGCTCTGTGCTGCCCTCTGTGCTCTGTGCTGTGCTGTCTCAAACCACTGCTGCTCCTCTCATACCCGCGCCCTCCCTGCTGAAGGCAGTGACAGTGCAGACAGTGAAGCACGTGACAGGCATCTACATGGAGGGATGCGCCTGCAGCAAGCCCACTCCGATAAAACAACACCCTGACTCACATTCCCTCACCCTCTTTCCTTGCAGGCAGTGACAGTGCAGACAGTGAAGCACGTGACGGGCATCTACGTGGAGGGGTGTGCCAAGCCCATGAATCACCCCCCTCCCCACCTTCCCCACCCTCCTGCAACCTCGCTCTCCCCTTGCAGGCAGTGACAGTGCAGACGGTGAAGCACGTCACAGGCATCTACGTGGACGGCTGTGCCAAGCCCATAGCGGTGTTTACAGGGGTGGACATTCCCGCTGCTCCCATCGCCAAGGCTCTCAAGCTGCAGGCCGACCCCCCGCCTCCTCCCTCCTGGGTCGTGGTGAGTTGAGTTGACTCAAAGGCAGGCATCCATGTGCGGGGCAGCAGCAAGCCCATAGCGGTCTTCAGACACAGGGGTGGACATTCCTGCTGCTCCCATCGCCAAGGCTCTCAAGCTACAGGCAGACCCACCACCGCCCCCCTCCTGGGTGGTGGTGAGCTGCTGCTTCCCCTTTCTCTCCTTCCTCTCTCCCTCTCGAACTTTTTCCTTCCTTTCATTCACCTCCTTTCTCCCATTCCTCTCCTTTCTCCCTGCCCTTCCCTTCCCCTCCCTCCTCCCTTCCTTACCACTTCCCATCCGCCCCTGTTCTTTCTCTCTGCTTCCGTTCCTCAGCTCCATCTCCCTCCTTCCACCATCCCCCATTCCCTTACTCCATATATTTTCCTCCAATAGTTCTTCCCTCGCCAAGTAGGTGGTTTTTGAGAATTCTCAAAAACCAGCTCGTACCATATTTTCCTCCGTTGGATCTTCCCTCGCCTTTCCTCCACATCGTTATCTTGTTCCGCTCTTCTCCCTCTTCTTCCCCCATCCATGACCACTCTCCCCCGGACCCTCATCATTTTCCCCAGGGCCTTCCTCACTCTCCCCCGGACCCTCCTCACTCTCCTCCGGGCCCTCCTCTCTGCATTCCCCTTCATCCCACCACTACGAGCCCCCCACCCCTCTCCCTCATTTCTCCAGCTGCCCATCCCCCATCCGCCTCCCCCCAGGGCTACATCCCCCCGCCCATCCCCCCAGACAACGTGCTGTCAGACACTCACCAAACTTCCTGAGTCCTCCACCCTTCCGCAACCCTCCCCCCCAATCGAACCCCATTTAGAGGCCATAGTTCAATACGTGGCAGCAAGTGATTAGAGTATGACACCTAGAGTAGGTTTGGTGTTTCCTGAGTCCTCCACCCTTCCGCAACCCTCCCGCCCCCCTCCCCTCCTTTTTCTCCATCTCCCCTCAATTCTCCTTTCCCCACCCCTTCCCATCCCTCACTCCGCCCATCCTCCACCCCTCCACTTTTTCCACGCGTCCATCCCCCCCAGGGCTACATCCCCCCGCCCATCCCCCCAGACAACGTGCTGCAGGGCAGTCCCCAAACTTCCTGATTCCCCCACCTCCTCTCCCCCCCCCCCTTCCCACCTCCCTCTCCTTCTCTCCATCTCCCCTCAATTCTCCATTCCCCACCCCTTCCCATCCCTCATTCCGCCCGTCCCCCACCCCGCCCGTCCCCCAGGGCTACATCCCCCCGCCCATCCCGGGCAAGAACGGCATGCCGCCCATCCCCCCAGACAACGTGCTGCAGGGCAGTCCGTTCGGGGACAACCTGTACGGGCTCAACCACTCCAAGGAGGTCAGTCACGCCACACTCAGGCATGCAGTCGTGCATACGTGCATGGGCATTCGTTTTGAGATGTCCGCACCCATGTCTTCTTTCATGCAGTCCGTTCGGGGACAACCTGTACGGGCTCAACCACTCCAAGGAGGTCAGTCTTGCAGTAAGGCGCACAGTCAGGCGCACAGTCAGGCGCACAGTCAGGCGCACAGTCAGGCGCACAGTCAGGCGCACAGGTTGAATGCTCGACAGATAGTCTCAACACCTTACCCCCGCCCTCACCACCTTTTTCCTCCCCCTCCCCCTCCCCCTCCCCCTCCTCCCCCCCTCCCCCTCCAGATCGGCAACTTCATGTTTGGGCTGTCACTAAACGACAAGCTGGTGGGCGGGCCGGGGCCGGACGTGATACTGGGGGGCAAGCACAACGACACCATCATTGGGGGCGCCGGGGATGACCGGCTGGTGGGCACCGCGAGAGGAGGGGGCACCGCGAGAGGAGGGGGCTAGGGGGGAATGAGAGGGAGAGAAGCTGGTGGGGTGGGGGGCCCTGGACTGGATGTTATATTGGGGGGCAATTACAACGACACCATCATTGGGGGCGACAGGGACGACCGGCTGGTGGGATAAGGGCGGGCTGGGGTAGGGGAGAGGCAAGAAAACAGGGGGTGGGGGAGGGCGAACAGGGGGGTGTGGGGAGAGCGGGAGGAGGAGAGTTGGGTGGGAGTGACTGGGGCGGGTTGGGAGAGTGGTCCTCCTTATGTCACAAGGCTCGTGCAGTGCAGTGCCGTGCCGTAATCCTTGCGAGTGACTTTTGAGAATTCTCCAGAATCACTCGCGAGTTTGGAGTGAGTTGGGCGGGTTGGGAGAGTGGTCTCGTCCAAGGCAAGTCCTTGTGTCACAAGGCTCGTGCAGTGCAGTGCCGGCACGCACGACGACTTACCGGTACTGGGGAGGCAGTAGTGGGGGCGAGACGACATGTTGACATGTGCAGTCACTGAGTGACTGGGATTTCAGCGAGTGACAAAAGGGTGGGGATACGGGAGAATCGAGACCTCTCAAAAACATTCTGGAGGCGACTGGGAGATTGTTTTCGAGAGGTCTCGATTTTTTTTCCCATGCAAGACCCTCCCACTTTCCCATGCTCTCCCCTCCTCTCATCCTTCCCTCCTAACTCATCCTCCCATCCCCCCACCCACCCCCCCCTCCAACCTCCCTCGTCTCTCCTCCCTACTGCAGTCGGGCGGGTCGGGATACGATTTGATTCTGGGTGGTGGGGGGCGGGATGCGCTGTTTGGCGGGCACAACGTGGACATCCTATATGGAGGAGGGTGGGGCAACTGGATTACTGGAGGGGACTCGGCAGGTGAGTTGTGAGATGCCCTGTCAGTTGCCGCTGTGATCCATGCCCTGTCGCATCTGCTCGTGCGGACGCATATAACCCTCCCCACTGGCCGCTTCTTTCTCGCTCCTCATTTCTCTCCCTGCGCCCTTCACCCCTTTGCGCCCTCTCCCTTCCTACACCCTCCCCCCCGCTTGCACACCCCCCTTCCCCTTCTCCCCCTGCGCCCTCCCCCCCTGCGCCCTGCCTCATGGCACAGATAAGATTTATGTGGATGCACCGAGCAGCTGCCAGGCCACGGGGCCCGCCCCTGATATCATCAATGACTATGACACGGACAAGGTGCGTGCACACAAGCACACACTCATCTAATGCATGCATGAAACACACATGTGCTGCCCAGGCCGATGTGCGATCTGCAAGTCGTTTGTGACATGCTGCAGTGATGTGTGATGTGCTTTGAAACGTCTCAAAGTGCGTTGATGTGACGTCTCCAAACTAGGGAAAGTGTCGGGCGCCTTTGAAATCATCTCACCCACCTCCCTGCTCCCCTCCCCTCTTCCCTCCCTCCCCGTCCCTTTCCCCCTCCCCCCATGGCCACAGATATTCATCGTGGGCTCTCTCACGTCCCTCTCTCAGCTCTCCATAGCCACCATCGCCTCTGGCACCACCATTGCTCTCAAGGTACCGTCCTACTCTACCCAATTACATGCTCAATTGAATTTCTGCGGGGAGGGGCATACTCGATTCTCTTCCGATACCTCCATTTCTTGACCTCTTTTTTTTTTTTTTTTTTTTTTTTTTGGTGAGATTTACATCATCGGTATGGGCATGAGCATGGGCATGCTGATGACCCCACCTTCCTTCCTGGTTTCTTTTTCTAGTGAAACAACCAGCCCATTTTGAGAAGTATTCTTCCCTGCTCTCTTTCTCTCCATCCCTCCATCCCTCCCTCCCTCCCTGCCTTCCCCCCTCCCTCCCTCCCTCCCCACGTGCAGGGGTGTGCAACGCCATTCATCTTCGTGAGAGGGGTCTCCAGCCTACCCACTTCCAACATCTTCTTCACCACCCCGGTACGCTCACCTAACTCACCTACCTTCCGTACAGTTGCACAGTTGCTGTGGTGTTGGGAGTTTGTTGCTTGTCATACATCGTACACATCATGGCTTGCAAGTGTGACGGGGCACTGAGCAAGTGTGTGAGCAAGTGTGTGCACCATCGTACTATATCGCGTAGTTTCACATCGTATCGCATCACGTCGCCTCTTCAAACTTCCCCATTTCTTTCAGTTATACGAGCCATGTCATAAATAACGTTACACCCACCCACACACATCTGAGCCAAGCCAATTAGGCTGCCAAGTTACGCCCAGAGTATCTCCCTCTCACTCAATCCCTGAATTTTGTGTGCACCAACAAATCCATATCTTACTACAGGATGGCATACCTACGAAACCCTAAAAGCACGCCTGCCAGGTCAATCCCAGTCTACATGAAGACAGGGTTACCATACTAGCCACGTAGATACTGCTAAGGTGCTGCTGCTGTGGAGTAATGTCAGACTGGCAAAAGTGTTTCTTGTGCATGTATTGATCAAATGTTGTATATTTATTGATTATATATTGAATGCTTCATTATGAGAAATCAAACAGCAATGCCTTGCTGTATCATTGTGGATTCGATAGGCACCAGTGTACCCCTTACCCAGGACTATTGTCGTTAATTCTCTACTTTTACATATCTTATGTTCCTACTAAGTCTGATACAACTCTTATATTGACATAAGCCCCAAACTTCTTCTGTGATCTTCACCACAACCACTACAATTATCATACACGGTGAGCTACAAACGAAACAGGATTCTCTCTGCTTGGGGCGAATCTTTTGATTCTCCATCCACGCCCTCCCACAGACTCGCTCGCTCACATCCCACCACATCCAACTCAGCCACTCTCCTCCCAGAGAACCAGACCCCCATTTCGCCACAGATCCATAGATCCACCCGCAAAACCCTCCATTTCGCCAGCCGTCTGCTGCTCCCCGCTCCAGTCGTCCAGCACGCGCGCTTTTGCCGGCGAGCAGTTCCCGATCTCTCCGCCTGTCGCGGTGCGGTGCGGTTCCCCGTCGGTCGCGGTGTGTTTCCCCGTCGGTTGCGGCGGCTTTTTTTTTTTTCGTCGCGCGCAGCACTTGGTCGCATTGGCAGTCGATAAGGTTCTCTGTCTCACCCTCTCCCGATCTCCCTCTTCCCCGCTCTCTCCCTCGCCGCCCTCCCCCCTCCCCCTCTCCCCCCTTCTCCCCCTCTCCCCCCTTCTCCCCCTCTCCCCCTCTCTCCCTCTTCCCCACCCTCACTTACGCCGTCCCGTCTCTCGTGAATCGAATCGGCGCTCATTACACGCACCTGTCTCTTGCACGCTCCTGCCCCCGTTACTCTCATCTCTTTCCCTGCCCATATCATTCCCTACGCTGCCTCTCGCGCCCCTCGCGCACTATATCCCACTTCACCCTCCGCTGCTTCCGCTGCGCCTTCTAAATCGTCTGCCCCTCACCGTCCGCTTCGTCTTCTCCAGCCATCCTCTCCTCTTTCAACAAACCCTTTACGCCCCTCCCTTTTCATTCCTCCCTTTTCCGCCCCTCCCATTCCGGCCCCCACTTCCCGCCCCCCTCCCTCCCCGGTCCCCCTTTCCGCCCCTGCCTTTCCGCCCCTGCCTTTCCGCCCCTCCCGTTCCGCCCCTCCCGTTCCGCCCCTCCCGTTCCGCCCTTCCCGTTCCGCCCCTCCCGTTCCGCCCTTCCCGTTCCGCCCCTGCCTTTCCGCCCCTCCCGTTCCGCCCCTCCCGTTCCGCCCCTCCCGTTCCGCCCCTCCCGTTCCGCCCCTCCCGTTCCGCCCCTCCCGTTCCGCCCCTCCCGTTCCGCCCTTCCCGTTCCGCCCCTCCCGTTCCGCGCTTCCCGTTCCGCCCCTGCCTTTCCGCCCCTCCCGTTCCGCCCCTCCCGTTCCGCCCCTCCCGTTCCGCCCCTCCCGTTCCGCCCTTCCACCACATCGTCTCTCCCGCGCGAGCCGATCTTCACTTCCAGATCGCCGCTTTCGAACGCATCTTCGCGCGATCCACGTGTCAACGCCGCAATGGCCAGCAAGTCTGCGGCGCCGCCGCCCGCCGCCACAAGCGGGAGCGCCAGCGCCGGATCCGGCGGCTCCGGCGGGAGCGGCGGAGGCGACATGGCGACGATCGACGCGGTGGCGGCGGGAGCGGGCAGCTGCATTGGCCTGGCCGTCGGCTCCGCGATTAGCGGCGGCGCTATCGGCGGACTGTTCGGATTGGGTGAGTGCAGGCGGGGGAGTGCGGGCGCGGAGGGAAGGGATGGTGGAGGGTTGAGGGTGGGGGGAAGGGGTAAGGGGGGGGAGAAGGGGGTTGGGGGGAGGAGGTGGGTTGGGGAAGGGTGTGTGGGTGGTGGGTCAGCAGGGTTGGTTATTTCCGGGGCTGAGATTTCGAGAAAGTTGAAGAAGCTGAATATAGTTGAGATCTGGAATGACTTGTGCCCTCCCCCCAATCCCCCTTCCCTGCCCCGTCCCGCTCTCTTCACCTCGAGTAACCCCACGTTTCTGACATGCCCGGACATTCTTTTTCGCTGTCCTCGTCGCAGCGACCACTCGGGTCCATCTCTTGCGCGCACTTGCTCCCTGTTCCCTCCTTTTCCTCTCTCTCCTCCCTCCCCCACTCCCCCACTTCCCGTCCCAACACCCTTCTCCCCATTCCCTTTTGCGAAATGCACTCGCGCACTCACCCATGGGTGAGAATGAGTTGCATCCACGTCGCACTCTGTACATACTCACTCGCTCACATTCTCGCACCCATGCCATACTCACTCACTCCCACTCATACCCAAACCAACTCTCACACGCACGTCTCTCTTTTCCTCCCCGCCCACTCTCCTCCCCTTCCCCTCCCGCCCTTTTCTCCCCTCTTCCTCTTGTCTCCCCCCTCCTCTCCTGTCTCCCCCTCCCGCCCTTTTCTCCCCTCCCCCTCTTGTCTCCCTCCCCCTCCTCTTGTCTCCCCCTCCCGCTGTTTTCTCCCCTCCCCATTCCCCCCAGTGTCGGGTCTCTTCCGCCGCGAGGGCTTTAAGAAGGCCATGTCCGAGGCTGGGGCTTCCGGCCGGGTAAGGCGCGGGGCTAGGGGAGACGGGTTGCGGGGCGCGGGGGATAGAATCTCTATCATAGAAAGGCCATGTTCAATGTGCACCCAGTGTGTGGGCCGGATAAGGCGCGGAGGAGCAAGGGAATTGCGGGGCACAGCGGGGAAACGGGCTGGGCTGGGGGAAATGGGAAGGGGGGGGTTGCTTTGCTTTGAAGTGGGATGCCATGGGGATGGCGTGCGGTGGCGTGCGGTGGCGTGCGGTGGCGTGCGGTGGCATGGGTTGGGGTGGGGTTGTGGTTGCTTGTGGTGGAGCATGTGAAGATGGGATGGCGTGGGAAGGATTTTCTAGGAGATTGATTCATCTCTTTCTGGCCTTCTGCTGCTCACGTCCTTTCCATCTCTCCTTCCCCTTCCCCTGCCCCTTCCCCTTCCGCTTCCCCTTCCCCTACCCCATCTTTACTTCCGTCGTCCGTCTGCTCTGCCTGCTAACCGTTTCTTGTGCTCCGTCTTTTGATCGTCTGGCTCTTCTCTTCCCCTTTCCAGATTACTCGTTTCCCCGTTTCCTAACCATCTCCCCCTCCCGTGATCACATGCAACACTGCACGTACTCACAATCCGTGCTCCTATAACCCATGCTCTCCTCCCGCCCTCTCGCTCCGCCCTCTCGCCTTCGCCCTCCCATCCCGTCCTCACCCCCCTCCCTCTCCTCCCGCCCTCTCACCCCGCCCTCTCACCCCGCCCTCTCTTCCCGCGCTCCATCCCCGCTCACCCCTTGGTGCAGACCTTTGCCATCATGTCGGGCGTGCACTCGCTCGTGAGCGCGTCGCTCAAGAAGATTCGCAACAAGGACGACGGTGCGTGCACCAAACTGAACGCTTCCATTCCTGCCGACATGCCTGCCTGCATGCCCCCCCTTCTCCCCCCCCCTCCTCCCCACCATCTTCCCCCCCTGATGGTTGCGTGCATGGCGGTCTGCATGCCTTTCTCTCTCTTGTGCACCGTGCTTGCTTCCTCCCTCCCTCCCTCCCTCCCTCCCCCCCTCCCACCCCCCATCCCCACCCTCCCGCCCGTAGATACCTCTAACCATACCATTACCCTCAAACGTTCTAACACACACGCAATGCCCCACACACATTGTTCCTTCCCTCTCGTGGCCTTCCCGCACACACTACACCCACCGTTTCCCCTCTCTTTCTCTCGTCCCCTCTCCCCCCACTCCGCCACGCCCCCGCCCCCCCACACCCCCCCCCCCCCCTTCTCCCCCTCCCCTTCCACTCCACCCCAATCGTGTCTCCCCACAGTGATCAACCATGCAGTGGCAGGCTGCGCCACTGGTATCGCTCTCGGCTGGGGAGGTATGACATTTCCCAGACGTGCTAATGGGTTTGGGGCGGTGGGCTGATGGGAGACTCGACGATGGGTGATTGAGAGGGTGGGGGAAGGGGGGGGGGGAGTTCTTGTGGGGGGGTGGTGTATGAAGATAGGCGAGCACTGAGCAACCATAAGAATTTTGTAATGCGTTACAACTTGTTGGGATTCTCAAACTTGGCGTATGAAAAAGATGAGCAACCATTATGATGGGAATTTATGGTCATGCCCCATACCCCATGCCCCATGCCCCATACCCCATGCCCCATGCCTCATTGCCCATGCCTCATGCCCTAGGCCTCGTGCACATTCCCTGCTGCATCCCATCACGCCAGTGAGCATGCTGCAGAACTGTGCGGGCTTTGCGTGTTCGCATTCAGCCTCACCCATTTCTCCCCTATCCACCCCTTTCCCTCCGTTTCCCCCCTTCCTGCCTTCCCCATGCATCCCGCCCCCTCCCCACCAGGCACGCCAGTGAGCATGCTGCAGAACTGTGCGGGCTTTGCCGTGTTTGCGTTCATCTTTGAGGGCATGAACCCACCACCACAGCCCGCTGTAGCAGCCGAGCTCAACCTCCTCGGCCTCTCCCCTCCACACGCCCACCCCAAGCATTCAAATCACCACCCTCACTTCCCCCATTTCCACCCCCTTTCCCTCGTCTCTCCCGTTCCCGCCTTCCCCATGCATCCCGCCCCCTCCCCACCAGGCACGCCAGTGAGCATGCTGCAGAACTGTGCGGGCTTTGCCGTGTTTGCATTCATCTTTGAGGGCATGAACCCGCCGCCACAGCCCGCTGTAGCAGCCGAGCTCAACCTCCTCGGCCTCGCCCCTCCACACGCCCATTACAACAGCAGCAGCAGTAGCAGCAGCAGCGGCGAGCGGCAGAGTGAACTTGATACTGGTGACCTGTGTAGCTTCTCCTCCTGCTCCTACCCCTTCTCTTCGTCCGCTTGCTCTGGTTCCTTGTCAATTTCTGCTGGCTCTGCTGCTGCTGCTGCTGATGCCTCTCTATGCAGCAGTGTAAGCAGTAGAAATAGAAGACAGGCGGCGGGCAGGATTAGCTGCGGCAGCAACAGCAGCAGTTGCCCAGTCCTTTGCTCCACTCAGTGCCACCAGCAGCACTTACTGACTGTCCTGCCGCTTTCCCTCTCACTCCCGCTCGCTGCTCAGATCGCCTCGTCCCCATATCACTTTTGAAAGCTCAGCAAAACCCACCCCAAAGCTCAACTCGCTGTCGCTTGCTCCCGCACTCGCCTATCAGTTCACCCCTCCCCCCCTCACACCAACTTACTCCATACCTTCCCACACTGCTTTCAAGGCCTGACCTGGAGGCCTGGGGTTGGGGAGAAGGCTCCAGCTGGTGCTATCTGTGTTCCTAAATTTCTCTGACATGTTGAGTGAGATGAGCAGCAGCAGTTGCAGAGCGGAGCGAACTACCTAGTACTGGCATTGCCATTTTTACGCTGCTTAGAAGAACCACTTCCCTGGAGCCCAGGGATTGCCTGAGAAACAATGTTGCTTTTAGTGTTGTGTAGGAGAAAGGCTAGGCTACATTGCTTTAGGCAGTACGGTATTTTCGCTCTAAATAGAGGCAAATTTCGCTCATGAAACTGCACAGCATTTGGGGTGAACCTACAGCATGGCCATGTACCCTGGTAACAAAGCATCCAGCAATATGCACCGCTAAAGATACTCCATGCAATACAGAACAAGGTTTTGCCCAGAGAAATTTAACCAGTCAACCTTTGGGCTGCCCCCAAAATACCGGCACAAGGCAGAAAGATACTCCACTAGGTCCGCATGCATCTCCACTTTCTTCATCTGCCCGCCCACAGCCACCCTCCGGGCAGAGAACCGGCCCGGAAAAACACAGCAGGGGACCACAGCGAATGGAATCTTAGCTCGGGCAGCGGCAAAAACTATATCCCCTGTGACCTCGTCCGGATGGAGGCCCACAAAGCACGAAAAATTTGAAGCTGCCCAGGAAGGATCAGCCGCGGAAAATTCCTTTTGAATGGAATGGGGTTTCCAGAGGGCGCCTGAGAGGTAGGCTCTTCTGAGGGCCTTCTTGGACTGGTGAGAGGAGGAGGTGGTGATGGCAGGTGATACTGTTGCTGATGCTGCTGCTGCTGGTGCATTTGTTGCAGCTGGTGGTGTGGGTGTTGGTGGTACTGGTGGTGGTTCTTGCACCTCTTGTACAGGAGCTGCTGCTAGCACTGTGGATTCTGCTGGTCTTGCTGCGTCTCCCACTGCTGCTTCTTCACTTGTTGCTGCTGCTTCTCCCACTGCTGCTTCTTCACTTGTCGCTGCTGCTTCTCCTGTTGCTGCTGCAAACGAATCAGGCATTTCCCCTTCCTCTCCTTCCTCCCCATCCACCTCCTCTCCCCTCCTCCCACCTACTCCCATCAACCCATCACCCTCATTCCCCACTTTGCCACCTGACCCATTCCTCACCCTATCAACGCCCATCAGCTCCCTTACCTGCTTCTTGTTTAGCCGCACTCCCCGCGGGTCAACCACAGTCGCCCGCACCCCATGCCTCTGCTCCAATGCAAACGCCAACGCCCCTCTCCCTCCTGCCACGTCTAAAACCCCCTTCCCACCGCTCCCTCCCTTCCCACCGCCCCTTCCTTGCCTGCCGCCCCCTCCCTTCCTGCCGTCCCCCATCTCCCCGCTGCCCTCTCCCTCCACTCCGTCTCCCGTCTCCCTCTCATCCTCCCTCTCCCAGCTTCCCCCCGTCGCCCCCCCGCCTTCCCCCATGAGTCTCCCCCGTCCGAACGTCCCCACCAGCCACGCAGCAAACAGCTCCGCGCGCACCTGCTTCCCCCGCTTCCCCTCCACGCTGTGCGGATCCCCCTCCCCCTGGCTGCAGCAGTGGCGGCGCCGGTGCTGCCTGTGCGCGATCCAGTGCAGGCGCAGCAGGGGGAGCAGCGCGGGGGGAGGGTGCGCGCGCGCGCAGAAGGGGGCGGCGGAGCAGTGCCCCGAGTTGAGGTAGTGCTTGCAGAGAGAGGAGAGGGGCGGGGCGGAGGGGGGGAGCGGAGGGAGGGAGGAGAGGTGAACTGTGGGTGATGTGGGGAGCTTGGGAGACACAGGGGAGGAGGGGAGCGGGGAGGAGTCAGGAGGAAGTGGAGGGCTGTTTGGACTTGACAAGTTGACTCGGGTTGGGGGTTTCAGGGTTTGAGGGTTATGCTGCTCGCTCCAATCCCCTTCCCCAATGCCCGCCTTCTCTGACCCTCTCTCGCTTCTTCTCCCTCCTCCTTCCCCTACCTTCCCTTCTTCCGCTCCCCGTTTTCCCCCTTCCGCTTCCCAATTCCCGCCTTCCGCTCCCTTTTTTCCGCCTTCCGCCCTCACTTTTCCGCCTTCCGCTCCTCCCCCACCGTCGTGTACCTCACCCGCCCATTCCGCTTCCCCCTCCCCCTTCCGCGCGCCGTCGCTCCCCCCACCGCCGGGCAGGTTCTCCCAAACGCCCCACCCAGGCGCCACTATGCGCCAGCCCAAGGCTTCCGCGCCTGCGCCTGCGTTTGTGCCCGCCCCTGCGCCTGCGCTTGCCCCGTCGATAGCATTTGCGCCTCCCGGATCCTCCTCCCCGCTCTCCGCAAGCTCCCCGTGCCTCTCCTCCGCGCACTCTCCCTCCGCCCTTCCGCCCGTCGCGGCAACGCCCGGGAATGGGGTTAATGACGCTGCGAAGAAAAGGGGCAGGCGGAAAGTCGGAGGGACTTGCGCCTCCTCGTTATTAGCCGCCTTGATTGGAGCCCTAGCAGGTTGCAAATCTATCAGAGGGCCGCGGAGGGACACGAGCCGACCCACGTGCGCGTGGCGGGCATTTGCGCGCACGTCCGGACATGTGGGATACTTTAGCGCAACTTCTAGCGTGCCGCTGACGTCGACTACGGCGGAGCTGACGTCATTCATGCTAGCAGCCAATGAATCCCGCTCGTGCCGCTGATTCTCCTCTTGTTGCTGCTGCTGTTGCTGCTGGAATGATTGTTGTTCCATGTGCTTCATACCGCGTGCGTTCATAACGCGAACGTTCATATCATCCCCAGCGCTCATGATCTCGACATCCAGAAACACCAATCGACGGCTCAGGCGTCTCACTCGCACCACGCGCGCCACCTCCACGCTCCATTCCACCTCGACATAGTGCCCCTCGTTACAATCACTCGGGGCGGATTTTCCATCCCCGACAGCTACACTCGTCGCCTCTACAATGTTTCCAGCCGACTGAGACTTTCCACCGTCCGATTTTACTCGAGACTCCTCGGAGACGCCAGATCCAACCGTTGCAGGTTCGCAGGTTTGGAACTTCTCGACCTTTTCAGCACAAACGTCACCACCAGTGTTTGCGGCTTGATTGCTCCCCCCTGACGCTGCGCGCGTTTCTGCGCCTTCCGTGTTCAGGGTTCCGGGTTTAGGCGGAAGCAGTAGTCCGCGCGCAGCCAGTTCCGCCTGCGACCTCCGCGGGCATGCGGAAAGGTCCACGCGGGGAACAGACGGCGAGAGAACGATCCGCGGAACGCTACTCATGGTGATTATTAGTTGTACTAATGCAAGGCCTCTCGGCTTTCTGAAGCCCTGTCAAGCTCTTGGGCTGGTGGCGCAGATGGTCTGAGTGAAACCTATTGTGTTTATGAAACCAATTGGGGAACAGGTGGTGTTGTGATTTGTTTCAACAACGGGTCGAGGATAGCCGAGCAAACCTGGGGCATACAAGCAGGATTGAGCAGAACCGCAGTACTCCTTCCCATCTCACCGCAACCAACCAAACCACGCCAAAAATCATTCGTTCTCCACACCAGATCCCATGCCCCATGGAGCTATCATTCACGCCACGCCACAATCAGGATTCTCACACACAGCAGACAAATCTGGGAGTTGTCTTGCTCATTCACAGGTCTCCTCTCTTCGCGCTTCCTTTTCCCACCGTTGGCTACCACGCCATTCCACTAGCATTGCAAGCGCGTGGATTAATCTCTCCGTACTGCTAGCACAGTCGGCGCGACACATTCCACTGCCTTTTCGCCTTCGGTTTCCGCAAAGGCGCACGGAAGCCGCTTGTCGCAATGACGTCGCTGTTCGTCCACTCGAGAGTTTTGTTCCCGCCGCGTGAGTTTTGGTATACGGGCATCATTGATGCGGACGTAGACATTCATTCATACATACATCCTTCCTTCATTCATCCTTCCGTCACCTTTTCAAACGCCTCGACCTGTTCTCGCACAGCCCTAGGTTCATTGGTTTCCCTCTCGTCGAGCATTGACAATGTCGCTGAACCAAAATCGTTGGACCACTATCCTATGAATCCAATGCCGCATGACCATACCGTCGTACGCGCATTGCCACCGTCAGTTGCGTTCAGTTTCCATTTCCCAATACTTCAAACGTTTTTTACACTCAGAATGGTCAGGAACATCCATCCCAGAGCGGTCCATCTTTCTTCTTCCCTAAGGTTACAAGTCTTCTAACTCCTGCCCTTTCTCGTCACCGCACTGCACCACACCCAACTCCGTTCTCAATCTCCCTTTTTCCTTGCCGGTTTCCCGTCCCTCGCACATCCAGATTCGGGCCTTTCTCGCAGCAATCCCGCTCATCTAAGCAAGCATCCACTCTCCACCTCCTCCTCCGTCCGCTTCAGTTCATGTGCAAAGCGACATCAAACTGTGTCAACACGCTGCACCGCCAGCAGCAGCGGCGGCAGCAGCGGCAGCAACCCACCATCCTCCACTCCAGCCTCCAGTTCGGACGTGCGCACGTGCCGCAACTGCAAGCAGCCATTCAGTCCCGCTGACAACCACCCCATGGCCTGCAGACACCACACGGCACACTATGGGGGTGAGTTTTGAGGCGCCTCAAAAGGCGCTACTGCAAGCAGCCCTCGTGCCTTGCTGACAACCACCCGCCTGCAGACTATGGTGGTGAGTGCACTACGGCGGTGAGTGCACTACGGCGGTGAGAGCACTACGGCGGTGAGAGCACTATGGTGGAGTTTTGAGTCGACTCAAAACTGCACTATGGTGGTGAGTTCACGGTGAGTGCACTATGGCGGTGAGTGCACTATGGCGGTGAGTGCACTACGGCGGTGAGTGCACTACGGCGGTGAGTGCACTATGGCAGTGAGTGCACTATGGCGGTGCGCACAAGTTTTTCTGAATCTTCTATATCCAACTCCCCCCATTCCCTCTTCCTCTCTTTCTGTCTCCTACAATCCCCATTCTTTGTTCGTCAATTCCTCCGCCCCCTTCCTCCTCCACTCTCTCCCATTCTCGCCACCCCCCCCCCCTCTCTCTCTCTCTCTCTCTCTCTCTCTCTCCCTCCCTCTCTCCCCCACCCCTCTCTTTCTCTCTCTTTCGCTCTCTTCTCACTCACTCTCACACACACATGCAGGCAGGCGCCCTCGTATACACACTCTCATTTGTGCACTCATCTAGCACACTTCGCCTTGTTCCTCTTCCTCATCATCAGCCTTCTCTTAATGAGGGTGCCACTCCCTCCCCCTCTACCCCTACTTCTCTCAGGTGAAACAAAGCGCAAGTTTGAGAGTGTGTACACGGGTGGGACAATGAACACAGTGGGAGGAGGTGAGATCACGGCGTACTGGCATTGCTGTGGCGCCACCGACCCCTTTGATCCAGGCTGTGTGGCAGGGCCACATGAGACTTACGATGACTGATGGATGGGGAGTAGGAATGTTCGTGAATGGAATAAATCTTGGGATCTGGTGGCCTAGTTTGTGCAACTGTTGTTATTTCTCCCGGAATAAGCGTGCGCTTTTCTTGGGAAGTGTGAAAGGGCCACATGTGCTGTCTATTGGGCTGATGGTTGTATATGTCAAATGTTCTAGCCATTAGTGGGTTGTGCAATAGGGGGTAAACACAGTTAGGGTTTGAATATGTACCTCAATCTGTCTAATGCACATTATTCCGCTGTAGCCACATTCTGAGAGTATAGAGCACACTTGTCATACACCCCCTTGGCTATGTAAAGGGCAGTGGCAGTATTACGGGTTCTGTACTACACGTCCTGTCTATGATACAAGCGGCCCTAAGGACTGTCAGCAAGAAAGATAAAGGGTATTATGTAAAACTCACGGCAGTACCACTAGCCCAGCCTATAAGACATGAAGCCACAAGGCCAGTGAAGAAGCATACACATAAAAGAGCATATTAAGAGGGTGCATTTCCATTTTGACGGGTCTTTAATTTTTCCCGTCACAGGGTTCCGCTCTGTACCTTAAAAGAAATAAGGTGTACCTTTACGCAGCCTTCAGAAGAAAGTAACTTACAGGGTTTGCCTCCATCTAGGATAAGAGTTTAGAATGGGAGTACTGGATGCAGTTTGTTGCATTGTGCATTTATGGTGATATATTTGCGAAAGAAGAAGTGAACTTGCATTGGCAAGTTAAAAACAATGTGAACAGTGACTCGGTACACTAACTGCTGGGCAATTTCCAGAACAACCTTCAAATACTGGGCAAACAAGGTCGAAATACATGACTTCTGTTTTGAACCTCGGGGTTGATCTACGACGCCTGCCCTAAAGAAGATTCCATCAAGACAATGCTGCCAATTTGACGTGAGCGAAATTTTGTCGCACTAACGACAGAAATTCAGTGTGCTAGAGACACAGAATTGGTCGTTACTTCTTGTGCAATTGGGACTCACAAGCTGGCAGGGTGGCACCACCCGCGCTAAGGGCCAAAGTTTCTGGGCGCAACTTGAGAGGCTGACGGACTGAGGCCGACCGTTGGGGTTGTAAAACCAAAGATAAAACCAAATAAAACTAAATTACAGTCGATGCTCAGCCTATCACAAAAATTTGCTTATCACAATTAGAAAATCAGTCACTCGCGAACGTTTTGCCTGTGAGTGGTGATTGTGCTGATTTCAGGGTACAGTCACCAAGTCGAGGAAGAAAAACATCTACAGTTCATAAACAACAACGGCTGCCTGTCATCAGAATTGTTTACCTGGTTACGAACTTAAACCCCTAGACTCGTTTCACATTCCAATTTCATTTTACAATCACATTTTTGCCCGTGGCGACAAGGGCGAATGTGGCGAAATGTCCGAAACTCGTTTCACTCACATGCCGCCCGCCTACATGGTGTTATTGAAATGAGCACCGACTGTAGCACTTCATTTTGCAGGTGATATTGTAGCGAAGGCGTGGGTTAAAGGAGGGGGGGAAACCCCTCTGGGTGTTAACCACACCTGGCTGTCGGTCGTAACCCGCCTCCCCATTTGTTTACACTCCTCGCTGGGTCAACGAGGTTGTTCTATCCACTCCCAGATGAGCACCTGTGTAACCCCCTTCTGGGGGGCTGGCAGAACACGCCGCAGGGGGGATTTGATCCCGGGACCTCATCTTTCGGAAGTGAACCAGCTAACTAGCTGGGCCACTTCAGGATGTAGCGAAGGCGTGGGAGGAGTGTGAGACAAGGCTGCCCATTCGGCAAAGGCACTACACTCTTTTCTCGCCATGGTCAGTTCCAGTATTCTAACAAGTGCTGTGTAGCTTGGAATTTATGAGGGTGAGATTGTGGGTTGACAAACGACTTCGCACTTGTAACGGGCAGCGATCGTCTATAAGTGGCAATGCCTTTACTGACCTACTCTGCCATGCGCGGAAACCTTGCTTCCCTATTTGATTGAAGTTGGTCTCAACGTTGAGGGGGTGATCAAAGTGCCGCACCAGCTCGACGTCGAGGGATATCGGTGAATCTTGACGGTTGGATCTTTCAATCCGAGGGTTGAAATTCACCGACATCCCTTGACGTCGAGCTGGTGCAGCACTTTGATCACCCTTTAATAAAAGCCGACAGTCCTAGCAAAATGGCAACCCTTTCGTCTTCAGTCTCGTACATAATAGCTTCCATTCGCTGACCAGGAGGGTTGGATTTGTTCAAGGTTTTAATTCAACCATAAAGGTTGACTTAGGAATAAAGAAAGCACAAAGAAAACGTTTCATATGTATATTATTGCTTGATATTTTTCCCTAAGGGCGCGTGTGTTTCGTTTCCAAGTTCGAAAATAAGTTCGACATTTGGGTGGTTTCCAGTTTCGCGAATTTCGCGAAGGGCATCTAACGAACATCGCGAATTTCAGGGCTTATGAAAGTTCGAACTTGAGAAGTGAACTTGAATCGAGTTGGCGTTGTGAATGTGCGTGCGCACGTTCGTGCGAGCGTGTGTGTTTCCGGCACGTATGAACACCATGCGAAATTGACGACTGCATTGCGAAACAGAAAATGACATTATGTTGACTTGGCGAGCATTTACCAGGTAACATAAAGGTTAGAATCTTGGTGTTCGACCTTGCATGTGTGATTGCATCTTCGAAGTGTTATTCCCGCAATTTCCGAACTTAGCTACAAGGAAAGTCGAATTCCATTCGACTTAAGTTCTAAATAATTATTAGCCCCCAAAACATGAACTTGGGAAATTATACAAGCAGTAACAATTTTCCCCGTTTTATCACGTTTGGTCACAGGGGTATCACAAACAGTCACAGTACAGTAGATGGTTATCGCGGGTGATCACAGTGCTATCACGGATGGTCACTCCTCGCCCCGAAAAGCTATCACGTTTGGTCACTCGATGGAACTTACATAATTAGTTTGAAACCACAAAAGGAACAGTAATTTTTTTTGTGAATCCAACGTTGTTTGCTTGTTCACTCGCGCATTATTCTAGCCTGATATTTAAGGAACTGAAGAAAAAAATAAACCCCTATAGGATGGCACATCATTCGGGAGGCATCAACCCTAAACACCTTGCGACAAGGTGTTTAGGGTTGATGCTCCCGAATTAAATCCCATCCGAATGCGGTTTAGTTTTTTTTGTCCGGGAAAAAAAACTTTAAGATCTTCACCCGCCTAAAAGATATATTCTTAGGGACATTATGCATCGATCGAATGGTGGTCAATTGAATAGTAACAAGAAATTGCAGATGTTTTTAACGAGTTACCGAAAGTTGTCGCGAAACATTTTCGTAATACTACGGACAAAACGGCTCGCATGAGAAGACTTTCCTTGGATCCATCCTTGGATTCATATTTATATTGATCGTTTCATCGAGTGACCAAACGTGATAGCTTTTCGGGGCGAGGTGTGACCATCCGTGATAGCACTGTGATCACCCGCGATAGCAATTTACTGTACTGTGACTGTTCGTGATACCCCTGTGACCAAACGTGAGAATACGGGCGAAATCGTGACTGCCTGTATAATTTCCCCATAAACTTTGTCAAATTTGACGGAAAATGTTCGTCATCACCACCGTCGTCTCAGGGCAAATCGAGACATACCCAAGCCTTCATCGGAATGAGGCAAGGAGATGGATCTGCACTGATCTTCCTCCGCTTTCAAAAACAGTCAGGATGAATGCACCACTCAATGTACACGTATCTGTGTTTGTCTGCCATGACTGTCCTGTCCAACTTCCACTAGTATCTGGGGTAGGATGGCATTGCCAGTCATTTTTCAGGGACTGATGCCCGCCGTCTGCGGCGAATCGCATGGGCTTGCAGGTTCGGTTCGGTTGTTGAGCGATTCTGGCATGCCCGTCCCACGTGTGGTAGTGAACTCACCTTGCTTCGCATGGTTCCTCCTCTCAGTCCATCGCCACCGAACCACCCAACAGAGACATCACACTTCCGTTCCCCGTGTTTCACGGTGCCGGATTCCCCATTCTCGCACGTGAGAGCCACCCCGCATGAAGCGCTCGCTCGAGAAAGCATGCGCGTAGAGTTCGTCATACACCAAGGTTCTCCTCTCCGCTGCTTGCGCGCATGGCAGGCTGCATCTTCATCAAATGGCCGAGCTGAGAGCAAATTGTGTTGGCAGACGGCTACATATACAAATTGTGTACAGCCCAACAGCCCAACAAATTGGGCTGTACAGCCAAACTGCAGCAAAACTCCATTCAGTACAGGTCACCGAAGCAACCCTATCCTGTCATCCCAGAATCGTACTGTCACAGTGTACTGTACGCAGCTCTACCCAAGCTGTGCCATGGTGTCGCGAAAATCCCGAGGCTGTCACAGCGACGCCGTTCCCGAGAGTTGCCCTTGGCCCACACGGGCCGTGCAGGGCCCGTTCGAGAACAAACGACACACGCTTCACTTCAAAAGCCCTAAATACCTTTTGCAAGTAGGCGGCGTGCCTTTCGGCTTTGGTCATTTATGTGCGGCGTGCCTTTCGAGCTCTGCCTCTACTAGCAGCACTGGCGGCTGTGCGTGCCAGGCCCTACCCGGTAGCGCTACTACTGATACTACTACTGACAGCTTTACTATTAGCACGAGTCGCGTTTGGCGCTGCTCATCGGCAGTGGCCACGCGCCGCGACGAACTCTGACTCAGAGCTGAGGAAACTTGCGACGAACTCTGACTCAGAGCTGAGGAAGCTTTGCTTCGGAAGCAAACATTCGCGACGCTAAACGCTGGCCGTTGAGAAAACTAGAGGTTCATGAGACGGCGACACTTTGATGGATGATAACCGTCATGATAACTCATGGAATAGTAATGGTGTAGCAGCAGCAGCACCCGTCAAGACCGTCTTGACGGTAGTACTAGGTCATGGCCGCCGTGATGACCATCTCAATAAAGAGCGGCATTCCATCATGGATGATGTTGATGGTGATAATCACCATGATGTGGATGGGCCAATGCCATCCATCACAGTGTCGCACGAATCTCAGGCTCAGGCTGTGGCTGTGGCTGCGGCAGCTCCCATGGATGGTGTTGTGACCAGCAGCAATATCACTACTAGCGGACTTGAGGGTACCGCTTGTAGTAGTCCCACAACTCCCACCGCTGCCGTTACCGCTGCCGCTGCCGCTACCAGCTCTCCCACATCACTTTCTTCAGAACATGCTGCTGCTGATGGTGATGGCGATGGCGATGGTGACGGCGATGGTGATGGCGATGGTGATGGTGATGCTGACACTGATGCTGATGCCCATGCTGATGCTCATGCTCATGCTGATGGTGGTGAAGGTGCTGACGATGATGAGTTGGAAGAGTCCCTCCATCGCGCTGCGCGGATTCAGCAGATCGTTAACTCGGACGGCTTCAACTGGCTCAAGTATGGCGAAAAGCGCGCCTCAGCATCTCGGTCAACCGTAAGGTACGGAGCCGCCACAGTCGCTGGCCTTAACAGCAGCACCACCATGGGCAGAATCAGCAGCACAAGCACCAAAGCAGCGTGCACCAAGATGGGTATCAACAGAACACAATGGCCACTTCTCCTTCGTCTCATCCCCTCACCTTCTCACCCTCTCACCTTCTCAGCCTCTCACCCTCATCCTCTCACCCTGCCCCGTCCCCCTGTCCCCCTTCCCCCCTGTCTCTCTGTCACTCACCCCACACCCCCCTCCCCCCCCGGGTCGCCCTGGCGTCCACGTGGCAGGGCCTACTACAAGTGCGTGTGGTCGCGAGCCGAAGCCTCGCCATGCCGTGCGCGCAAAGTAGTGGAGATCGATCCGTCCAGCAAGGTCACGCCCAGTACACTGCGTACTCGTTACATGTCCACCCACAACCACCAAACCCGCGGCCAGTGCCCCCGCAAGTTGAGAAAATACCCGAGGCAGAACCTGGCCTCTGGGAACCACCATCGTTCTCATCCGAGCAGCTGCACAGCTAGTGGCAGACGTGGCGATAATAGCATCCGGTGCACCGGCTATCAGGGTAATGCACGCACCACCACGCCCACCAAAATCACCACCACCACCACCACCACCACCACCACCACCACCGCTACTATTCCTGGTAACGGTCTCTGGGGCAGCGCCGTAGCAGTTGGAGCAGCGAAAGAGGACAGTCTCGACGTGGGGCCGCCACCACCTTGTTGTGAGGCCTCCCCCAGGAGGACGCTCGTTCCTCGGAAAATCCTGCCTGCGCCTGCTACTACGACTGGAACTGGTACTTCCAGTGGTTTTCTCCGACCAGGAAGTCGTGCACCGAGTGCCAGTGCCTCTCCCACTGGCCGTTACGGCATGATGATCGACAGCCTGATGCTGCCGGGAAGAGCAGATGCTTCTGCGTCTGCCGCTGCTGCTTCTGCTGCTGCTACGGCTGCTGCTACTTCTGATGCTACTGCTACTGCTACTGCTACTGCTGCTGCTTCAGCAGCCAGTGCTGGGCGCTGCGGCATTCAAGGTGATGGTGGCAGGGATGGCGACAAAAGTGCCAGAGGTGGCGGAAAGAGTGGTAGGGGAGGCGGAAAGAGTGGTAGGGGAGGCGGAAAGAGTGGTAGGGGAGGCGGAAAGAGTGGTAGGGGAGGCGGAAAGAGTGGTAGGGGAGGCGGAAAGAGTGGTAGGGGAGGCGGAAAGAGTGGTAGGGGAGGCGGAAAGAGTGGTAGGGGAGGCGGAAAGAGTGGAACATCTGGCGATTCAAGTGGCAGAGATGGCGGCAAGAGTAGCAGAGGTAGCGACGAAAGAAGCAAAGCTAGCGACAAGAGTGGCAGAGGTGGCAACAACTCCAGCGGTCTCCCAAACCCCACGGCATTCCAGCCTTCGGGCCTGGAGCTTATGGCCATGCACCGCCATCCAATAACCAGTGCTCATGCCCTAACCAACATTCAGGTCCCTGCTCCAGCTGGCACTGAGTTTGCTGCTTCAGCCGACGCTGTGAACGCTCTTCTATTCTCTGGAAGTCCGAGCAGCACGGCAGGGCTACTGCCGGGAGTGTCGCTGCCGGGAGGGTCGCTAGCGGGAGTGTTGCTACCAGGAGTATCCCTCTGGCCAACAGTTCCGACCTCTGTGATTCCTGTGCTGCATTCCCTGCCTCTGGGCTCTACAGGCAGCAGTGGCACGAGCAGCAGCAGCATCAGCAGCGGCAGCGGCAGCAGTAACAGCAGGAGCGTGTTTGGCAGCAGCTATTGCGTGTTGGGAAGCACCAACAGCTTCTGTGGTGCTGGGAAAGGTGGTTCTGACAGCGGTGATGGTGGCGGTGGTGGCGGTGGTGGCGGTGGTGGCGGTGGTAGAGGTGGCGGGAGAAGCAGTGGGGCTATCGACGAGAATTTCTCTGAAAGCGGCGGCGCCTATCCGAACCCTGTCGCTCTTGCGTCTCTCACACCCGCCACTACCACTTATTTAGTCGCTCCAGCAGCAGCAGCAGGCACCTCCAGGGCGCAGAGCCGCCGTCCCTTCCGAGTGCCCAGAAGCATGGCTGGCGCTGCCATGTCTGCCGCCTCTGCACTTGCCGCCTCTGCACTTGGTGCTCCTGCTGCTGCTTCTGGTTCTGCCGCCTCCGCACATTATGCCACTGCTGGTGCCACAAAAACCACTGCTTCTGCTGCTGCTGCTGCTGCCGCTGCTGCCGACCCTGCTGCGGGTGCGGTTCAGCCCGCTCTCTTGCCTTCCACTCTGGCCGTCCCGAGGGGGGCAGCGGCGTTGGACGCAGCTGTGCTGCCCGTGCTGCTGGTTCAGCCGGCGCATTCTCATGCCGCTGCCTCCGTCCTCGCCTCTGCCATCATGGCTGCTGCCAAAGCACTTCCTCCTCCTCCTGCTCCTGCTGCTGCTCCACCTGCTGCTCCTCTTGCTTGTCCTGCTGCTGATGCTACTCCTGGTGATGCACATTCCGATGGTGGTAGTGCTGCTCCTGCTGCTCCTGCTGCTCCTGCTGCTGGCGCACATGCTTCAGCATGTCACGGCACACCTGCTTTCTTCCCAGCTAGCCCTAAGCACGATACAGCTCATCCTGTCTCTGTTCCTCCCTTCAAGGCCCCTAGGAGAGGCAGTCCTGCTTGCATCCAAACGCGGACCCCACCTCTTGCCTCTTCCCCTCCGAGACGGCACTGCGCTGCTCCCGCTGCTCCTCCTCCTGCTGTTTCTTCTGCTGCTCCTTCTTCTTCTTCTGTTCCTGCTGCTTCTGTAAGCACGGCTTTCACCAAACTTGGTCATAAGGCTACTGCAACGGCTGTTGATGCTGGTGATGCTGTTGATGCTAATGATAACGAGAAAGCTGCAGCCGCTGGTAATGACGCCATGGCTGCAAATAAGGCAGCTAGAGCAGCTTCAGCAGCAGCAGCAGCAGACGCAGCAGGAGCTTACACCATCGCTGTTGTCCCTGCTGGTGCCATTGCTGTCACTCCTGAGTCTGCAGTGGCATTTGCAGATGCTGAAATGGGAGCTGAGTTGGGCACAGATGAGCAGATTGGCAAGCAGAGTATGGTATCACCATCAGGGATGGATACCGCTGAAGGGATTCCAGAGCAGATGGATGGTGTTGTAGCAAATTCGGAAGGAATGGAATGTTATGCAGCATCAGGAGCAGCAGCAGCAGCGGCAGCAGCAGCAGCAGCAGCAGCAGCAGCAGCAGCAGCAGCAGCAGCAGCAGCAGCAGCAGCAGCAGCAGCAGCAGCAGCAGCAGCAGCAGCAGCAGCAGCAGCAGCAGCAGCAGCAGCAGCAGCAGCAGCAGCAGCAGCAGCAGCAGCAGCAGCAGCAGAGGCTAAGGAGTGGAACAATCTAATGCAAGCCATGGATGTGGATGCACCCCCTACTAAAATCCCATATATGCACCTAGGTGACGGTCATCTTGATAACTCTTTCCATAACCCCCACTGTAACCCTCCCAGAAACTCCCTCAGCAACCCTCTCAGCAGCATCAGCCCCATCAGCCCAACAGACATGGAAAGCTTGGGGGAGGCGCCAGGGGCGACGGATGAGATTCCTTTCAACGTCTCAGGTCTCACTGGTGAATTTGCTGGGCACAGCAACAGCAATGTCTCAGATTTTCCGCTCCTGCCCTGGGAGATATTTTCCTGGGACTCAGCAGAAGATGTGGTTTTGGATTATACTCACGGCCTTGCCACTCCTGCTCCTGCTGTTGCGGATGGCGCTGGCGCTGCTGCTGGTGAAAAGGAAGGGGCTCGTGCCTGTTCTGTGACAGGGCAACAGGAGCCACACCAGCAGAAGCTGCAGCAGCTGGAAGATCAAAGGCGTACTCAGCAGTCTAGCATCTTGAAATTGCAGGTAATGTGCATTGCCAGCAATGCTGCTAAAGTTGTCTGCTATTCCAGACCAGTTCCAATGCCAGTCTTGACCGCAGAGCTAACATAGTCAGCATGATCTGTCCTATTCTGCTTTTGAGTCGACTCAAAAGCAGACTGTGTGAGCACTGCGGTCAACTTTTGAGTCTGCTTTTGATTCGACTCAAAAGTTGACCGCAGTGCTGACGTAGTCTGCAGGACGTGTCCTATTCTTGCCATTCTTGTCACAGCAGCACTCTACTCCATAACAAGCAACTCTCTGCTTTTGACCTGATGAATCTGCAGGGAGCAACAGAACTGGCTTCTAAGAGGAATGGCTCTATCAGCCATAACCACACCTGTCAGGCGTCGCCGATCTCCTCTCATGCAATGTCTTCTCTTACTGGTGCCGTTAACCACCTGTCGGGTTCCATTGTCCCTGGTCCTATCACTGGTGATGGTCCTTCTCTTGGTGGTTGCGCCTTTGGCTTTTTTTCTAACAGTGCTGCTGCTGCTGCTGCTGCTGCTGCTGCTCCCACCCTTTCTGTTCCACTGGGTGCTGCTGGCCCTTCTGCCACTGCTGGTAGCACTGGTAACGCTGTTACTTCTTCCACCTCTCCTGCTGCTGCTGCTGCCACCACTGTTGCTGCTGCTTCTGCCCTTAGCCCGATTATTCATATAGCTTCCACCAATATTGTCGCTGCTCCTGCTGGTACCGCCTCTGCAGCACACAATCATATTCACACCAATTCACAGGCAAATACCACTCTTCAACCATCTGCACCTGAAGCGCAGCCAACTTCAGGCACGTCCCGTAACAGGCTCCTTGCGACTCTCAACGCGGCAATGCAGCACAACAGGCGGATTCTGGAGAGGCACCAACAGCGCCTGCTTAACCACACCAGGGAGTCTGGTTACCGGGCAGATGGGTCGCCGGTCAAACACAAGAGAAGTCGCAAGGGTCAAGATGGGTGTTACTTCATGGAGCATGATAAGGAGCATGTATCGAGTATGAATTCACGGCTCATGCATGGGTCTGAGGCTGAGAGGAGCCATGGAGTCGCAGAGAGCATTGCAGCTGGAGGAGATGATGCTATGCTCAGACAAGCCAGTCAATGCTCCAGAGTTACCAGTGGGGATCAGCCCATGGCTGGACTCTTCAGTAGGCAAGCAGGGACAACTCCTCAAGGCTCATTTCCGGAGTGATTTCTCAGCCTGTGATCACTGAGAAGTTGCTAAAGCTCGCCTATGCTTGTCAAATTCTGACAGTTGGAAGACCACCCAAGCTTGCTGAAGATGAGATGGTGCTTGAGAGAAACAAGGAACTGAAAACTTCCGCCCAATCCAAGAAGTCTTGAATGCGCATGGCATGGCATTCTGTTAACAAATAAGATTTTCATATCCAATTATAACTGACTACAAGTGTACCGTCATCACCTGGATAGTAGACAGTGTTGAATAGTAGACAGGGGTTGTCTATTATCCGGGTGTCTCTTATAGACAGGCTAGCCTGATTATAGGACACCTATTTGTGTGTACGGGTTAAGCCCGTGTAAGGGTTAGGGGCAATTGTATAACGAGGGAGTATCTTTTAAACGGTTTTTTGTCCATTTATAAGACTTACCGTACAAGACACCAAAACCTCCCCAAATACAAGATAACCCAAGCATTTTTTCTAGTGTACGAGATAAGATATATATATATATATATGTCTTATATCCAGGCAATGACGGTACTAGTAAGAGATTATGAGGGGGGCTAGAAAATCATAGCCAGATGCGGACCCGGTTTGGGTTTGGAGTTGTCTTAAGCCTAGGCACTATACAAGTCACGAGGTACATAATGAGCCGTGCATTATACGTTTATGATATCATGTGCGCACTTGCTTGGTCTTATTTACATCGGTATATGTTTTGATCAATATTGAAAGCAACAACATACCGGTTGACTCAAAGGGGAAGAGGAGGGTTAAACTGTCTGCACGCATAGAGCGGGTATAATGATCAGAAGTGCATGATATAGGAATTTCTTGCTCCCCTCCTCCCTAAATTGTGGAACTGAGGGTTTTTATTGGGGGGTGCCAAGGGGGGGAAGGGGAAAGCAGTTTGTTAGCATTGCACTAAGGCAGCTTGATAGAGTTGTATCAAGTAGCCTGGCAGTACTACAGTCGCAAGAGAACACTGGGCACATGTGCGTCACCTACCAAGTAGGTGCGCTTTGCATGGCAGACGATTGTGTCCATGTTGTGCACGTGATGCTTCTTTCTCAGGTGCCAGGTTCGCCAAAACCAGCTAGGGCAAAGCTCACGAACTCGCAAAGTTGTGCCAACTCTCAAAGTTGCGCCAACCAGTTACTTGGTTGACTAGAAGTGGCCGCTCAACCGACGCCGTCGACGACGGATCAACACATGTAGGTCAGCGCCATAACAACCACCTTCGTCAACCGTCGAGGCTCGACGTCGCTCACCGACTTCAATTCGTCGGCTAGCATCTGGCTGGCTAGGTTGGCTTCTAAAGCCAACTCTGCCGGGGTCAACAAACTAAACCCTTCACTTCCTTCTCCAAGTCGGCGCCGACCATGAAGCATAACACCTCGCACATACTTCAGCGAGCAAGGGCATGGCCTTTTCTTGTCCATTTGCCCAATGAAGCCTATTTGCATATTTACATGCGCCTTATGGACTAAAAGTCAATCTGATGAGAAGCGGTGATTAGGGCGTAGCCCAAACTTGATCGATCTTGAACATACGATCCATTTTTTTAACATTTTTTTTTTAAATTATCAAACCAGGAAGGTCAATCGATGCAATAGGGTAGAATCCGGCAACATATATTCGCAGATCGATCGAACTCGATTGACCACATGTACCTAATACTATTGATCGCGATCCACGACGATTGATTGAGATCTATATATTCTGGTCAACAATGCCAGCAATAAGTTACTTGCTCGAAAACAAAAATGTCGCCCACCTCCAAAGATTGTCCTCAAACCGCAAACACTGCACTTGCCACACACACATGCATCTAAGATATATTTTTTGGATGAGGCGGTGTGGACCATGCAATCATGAGTGACTTGATCTTACTCGATCAAAGTCGATCTGAACCATTATGGGCCGTTCTTCGTTGGATTCACGCATGCTACATCTGCGATGCTCCCGACCACCTCTCGTACGACTGCCCCGACCAAGACGAGTCTGACGACGACCGCGACGTCAAATGCAGAAAGGGAGATGGTGGCCGTCGTCGTCGGGACAACCAGCCGCGCAAGGAGAAGTAGGCGTTGAAGACGTCTTCGACGAAGGATGCTGACTCCTCTGGCGGCAATGCTCGTGGCGAGGAGGCTTCGTGCTCGATGGTCGGCGTGATGGAGCTGAAGATCTCGCTGGCGCTGGAGACTGGCAAAGATTTCGAGGCCGTCGCAGCCGCTGTGCATGCAAACCCATCGGTGGTGCCGCTCGACAGTAGCTGTTTCCACCATCTGATGGGGACAAAGGAGGCGTTCGTTGAGATGAAGCCTCGCGGCAATGTCAGGAATGTGCGTGGCTTCAACGGGGCGCTGCAGAACGTCGAAGGCCGTGGCACCGTCGCTCCGCAAGGGAAGACGTGGAAGCAGATTCTCGCTCCTGATGTGCTCTACGTTCCAGATGTCCAGACGAACTTTCTGTCTGCAGGCCAGCTCAAGAAGAAGGGCGTGAAGGTACAGGACGACGGCGCAGAGATGCTGCTGGTGTCTTCTGCCAGCGATGTACTTGGTCGTGCACGCTACTCTTGCAGAGTGCTCTGCACGGACTTGCTCCTCTGCTCGACGACGTCGACGACGACTTCGACAGAGGTTGTGGCTCTGCGGCGATAGCGTCAACGATGAAGTCTACCCCGGGCAAATGGCATGCTCGCCTTGCGCACGTCGGCATCGACACGATCAAGAGCTCGGCGAAGCATGAGGTCGCCACCGGTCTGGACATCAAGAAGTCGACCGCAGATGATCTGCCGTGTGCCTCCTGCGTCAGCGGCAAGCTTGCGCTCGATGTGGTGCACATCGACCTCTGCGGACCGTTTCGAGTGGCCGCCAATGATGGCAGCCTCTACTTTCTTCTAGTGAAGGACCGGAAGACTCGTTATGTATGGGTGAGGCCGATTGCGAAGAAGAGCGACGTGCTAGTCGTCTTTGACAAGTGGCTGAAAATTGTGGAGCGGCAAACTTCGAAGACGGTAAAGATGCTGCGTTATGACCGTGGAGGGGAGTTCTTTGGTCGCGCCTTCACCGACCTCGTCGAGGACGAAAACATCCTCTACAATCTGACATGCCCCTACACTACGCAGCAGAACAAAATGGCGGAGCGGGAGATGCGCACGGTGGTCGAGGCCGTGCGAACGATGCTTCTGCACATGGGCGTGAAGCATCACTGGTGCCATCTCGCTTTGCGGCAGGCCGTCTGGGTGCGCAACTGCCTCGAACGGGCTTCTCTGCCTTTGGGGACGACGCTGCACGAGCTGCTATTCGAGAAGAAGACGGACCTGACGCTGGCGCGCGTCTGGGGCTGCATGGTGCAGTTCATGGTCCCCGAGCAGCAGCGCGGCGGAAAGCTGGCACCAAAGGCTCGATGGGGTTTTCACTTCGGGGTGTCGCCAGAGAGCAAGGGCTGGGAGGTGCTCGATTTGACAGACAACAAAGATGTCACGACGGTCGAAGCGATCTTCTACGAAAACCTGTCGATGGAGAAGTGGAAGGCAGAGTACAGGCTGGGGTTGACGAGGACGCCATCTGCCCCGCTGCCAGATTTCTCCGCGACGATGCCTCCATTGCTTGCGAAGTTGACGAGCATGATGACGAGGACGTCGAAGAAGTCCCTCTCCCCACTGTTTCCCTGTCGGCGACACCGTCGCCCTCCCCTCCCCCGCCCGTCGTCGACACTCTTGTGCAGGGATCCTCGTCGGCCGCCGGCGATGAGGGGAGACTCGGTGCGCAGCCTGCTGCGCCGACCAGTTGCATCGCCGGTGGCCGACATGATGCAGAGAAGACCGTAGACGGGCAGCGTCAGACGACAGGGGAGCAGATGAGAAGGAAGCTGTTTGCGTCGAAGCCGACTTTAGAGAAGCCAACGGCAGAGGCACCATCTTTAGAGGAGCTGTTGGCAGAAAAACCGATTTAGGGGGAGCAGACGGTAGAGGAAGTGCCAACAGGGGAGCAGTCCGACGACGACTCGTCGAGCGATGAGGTTATGGAAGTCGTCGGGGCGGGCGGCTGTGGTGAAGGGGAGCTGTCAACAGGGGAGCAGTCTGACGACGGCGACGTGGTAGAGGTCCCGGTCAAAGAGGCGAAACCGCGGCGGTCTACCCGCTCCAACATTGGCAAGCCGCCGGAGAAGCTGAGCTATCAAGCTTGTCTGCCGGCGGCGGCCTACAGTACTCTGCTCGACGGCGCAGAGGACGACATCGATCCGTCAAGCATGCCGACCCAGAGCATCGCTGGGACATCGCCAACATGACGGTGAAGGAGGCGTTGGCGAGCTGGAAAGGCAAGGCAGTGAAGGCCGCCATAGACAAGGAGATCAAGAGTCTTATCTCGAACGGGACGTGGGAGCTGGTCGAGCGTCCGCGCGGTGTCAACATCATGAAGAACCGCTGGGTGCTCACGACGAAGTACCACGTCGACGACACGGTCGCCCGCGAGAAGGCTCGTCTGGTGGTGAAAGGTTTCACGCAGGTCTACGGTGCCGGTTACGACGAGACGGGAGCTACATAACCATGAGAATCTTTCTCAGCATTAAAGCTGTGCTCGACCTTCATCTGATGCAGCTCGACATGATGAATGCGTTTCTGCAGAGTAAGCTGTATCGCGTCCTCTATATGTATCAGCCCGACTACTACAATGACGGAACCAGTCGCGTCTACAAGGTGATGAAGAGCTCGTACGGGCTGAAGTAGCGTCTGCTACTGTGATTCTCGGCGCTCAACGCGGTGCTGACGCGGCACAAGAGGCACTTACAGAAACTCGTGACGCCGCTCTGGAGTTCGGCGGCGGACCAGAGTCGCTGTGTCTGGTCGGCTATGCAGATGCCGACGACGGTGGCAACAAGCGGAATCAGACAAGCACGGGCGGCTAAAATTTTCATCTTCGGAGGAGCCGAAGTTTCCTGGTTGAGCCAGCGCATCAAATGGTTAAGCGCAGAAAAATTGCTTTGCAGTACATCTCGACCTCCG